TTTGACCTGAATTTGCCTAATTCACACTTACTGGCCATTCTTTTCACTGTAACTATATAAAATAAATCTTTCTTTATTCTTCTTCTACATGAAATATCTCCAAATGTTCTCTTCTACATGAAATATCTCCAAATGTTAGAACAAACATGTTGGTTGTTACTGAATTATTATCTAGAATAAGTCACTTTTTTTTTCCCTTTTCTAGATCCATAACATCTTGTATACTCTTCCAGTTATGTTAAAATGATTAATGCCCTTTAAAAATGTGACTGCCTAGGGGTGCCTGGGGTGGCCCAGTCGGCCAACTCTTTATTTCAGCTCAGCTCATGATCTCAGGTTTGTGAGATCAAGCCCTGCATCAGGCTCTGGACTGGGCATGGAACCTGCTTAAGATTTTCCCTCCTCTTCTGTCCCTCCCTCACCTGCCCCTGCCTTAAAAATAAAAATAAAAATAAATAAATAAATAAATAAACTTTTAACTGCCTAGGGCTGATGACAGTACTTCCCTGTGGTAGACCCATTACAGAGCACAATAGGACTAGGGTCTTGATCTGGACATCTGCTTCTAGCAAGAGTTTAGGGCTATTTTAACATCATCTTGTCCTTATTTTACGGCTGACTTATTTTGACTGAAACCTTCAGACTTTATATTTTAATTGCTTTTAAGCACATCTTATCTGTGTGTTTTTGTGCAGTTGACTTTCCAAAACATTCAGGGTTTAACTCTTAGTCATATATGACACAACTTATTCCATTTCAGAAAATCATTATCCGTTTCAATCTTGATCCTAGGACTCAGTGGACACTATTCATTCAGACCAATTTTAGCCATCCACTGCGCTGGGCAGGCTTGCAGGCTTGTTTCAGGTCGTCAGTAACACGGTAAACAAACCATCTCTTGGTACTGGTCTCCCTCTCCCTCTACTTGAGTCACTCTAGCCTTTTTTATTAATTCTCAGGCACCATGCTCCTTCATACATTAGACTTCTGCCTATAACCTCTGCCTAAAATGTCCTTTCCTCTCCATGCTTTTGTCCCTATTTGGCTAACTGATCTCAAGTAAAATGTTTGCCTAAGGATTTCCCTGACACAACACTAGGTCAGACCTCCCTTTTATAGGCTTTTGTAGCACCCTGTACTTGTTTGGCTTAGCTTTTTTCATCTTATAATGTATTTATTGGTGTGATTGTTGTCTCTTCCCTGCTTTATCATATGCTCCATGATGGCAAGAACCATGGTGGGTTTTTTTTGCTCCCTATTGTATCTCCACGGCCTTAAAAAGGCCATTTCCAACACCAGTTTACAACCCCAACTCCTGATGATGTTTTTACACATTTTATACATTTATATTTTATACGTTTGAGTTAGAACAAGAAAAATAAGGACAAAATGTACATGTATATGTGTGGTGTATGTCAATGTGAAGTTACTGCCTTCTTGGGAAAGACTTATTTTAACATTCTTCTACTTTCCAAATTATACATGGTTCTCTTTAAGTTTTTTGTTAAGTTTTGGGGTATTTTGTCTTTTTTTGGAAACTGTCTTTACTGAGAATAAAAATAAATGTGTAAACCATGGGACTTTGGTATTTTACTAGACTATGAAACCAGAAATTAATGTTGAATACCCTAGAGACCATCTCTAAACTAAGATCTTTCTCTTTGGATACAGTTGCTATGAATCCACTTGGCTATATTTAAAATACATAATTTCGCCTTTAGAGATTTTTTTGGTGACATGGGTCTTCCTCAATGACTTCCTTTCATTTATCTCTGTAATGTAATATTTATTGTTGCCAAGTAGGTTCAGATTCAAAACAGTAATTGTTGGGTTTTCTTTTTTAGGTATAATTTTACTTTTCCTTTATTTAATGTGACTGAAAGAATAAATCTCAAGAACAGTAACTTAAATTTTAATACCAAAAGCAAATTTACATATTTATGGCTACTGAAAACTCTTATTGTAAATGGTTTTATATTTTAGAGTTAAACACATTTCATAAATATGTATAAAAATATAAATAAATAAAATACATAAATAAATTTTATTTACTTATTGTAACTAAATAAAATATAAAAAATATAAATCAATAAAATATGAATAGACATTAAAAATAATTAGACCTTTATTATTTTTTAATTAAATAATAACACAGATTTCCTGGCAAACTTTTCCTATAAAATTGTTACTATTTAACCTGCTTTATGTGAGTGTTAATTTGTGTGCAATAAAAATTATAGTTTTTGGTGAGTAGATAAAATGGAATTTCTTGGGGAGGGGAATCAGATCATTTTAATTGTAATTCTTTTTTCTTCTCTTTTAAAAAATATTTATTTATTTATTTTAGAGAGATAATGCACGTGCGAACATGTACCCTCACATGCAGGTGCGGGGGCAGAGGGAGAGAGAATCTCAAGCAGAGTCCCCCTGGGGAGCAGGGCTGATCTCACCACTCTGAGAAAATGACCCCAACTGAAATCAAGAGTCGCAGCTCAATCAGCTGAGCCACCCAGGCACTCCTGCTTTTTTCTTCTTCTAACTTTATATTACAAAAAAACCCTATCAGCTATGTGACTTTGTTATTTTAACCTCTCTGTGCTTGTTTCCTTAACTATCCTGTTTCTTCATCTATGAAATGGTAATTATGGGGATTTGAATGACTGTTCATGAATACATGTAAAGTGCTTAGAAGATTGTCTCTTCAGAAGATCACAATGGGAGTGATCAAAACTATTCGCTGCTTTTACTATTAGTAGTAGTATTTGTGATGAACAGGGATTTTCATATTAAGTTACAGAATAAGTCAGCATAGACAAAAATACTAAACTTTATTTTCTATTTTAACCATATTCTCAATACTTAATATTCTGATAAATCATTATTTACCAAAGGAAAAAACTTTGTAGAATAAACACATTCAGTTCTTCTCTAGCCACAATTCATAGACTTACATCTTTCAAGACTTTAGTTGTTCAATAAATGTTTTGTGATTACTTTTTTAAGTCAATTCAACAACTTATTGATCTATATTGATAGTAGATTATTAAAGTAGTAATCTAGCCTTTTAACTAGAATATCACCTTCATACTTAGAAAACAAATTTTATAAACTCTAAGTTTAAAACACCTGGAAAAGTTGAAAAGCAAAAATGCTGTCTTTTTTTCTTTCCTAAGCAGAAAATGGGAGGTGCTTAAATTACCTAATATTTTAATTAGGTTTTCAAACCAAAAACCTGTTTAATTTGCATATATTTTACAATCAAAAGTATGCTGCACATTTACAAATAAAGTAATTCAACAACAAATGTTATCTGGCTGATGTAATTATATAGGATTATATATCTTCATATATCATAGTGGTCAAGAATATGAACAGTATACCCTATGACCCAGCAATTGCACTACTGGGTATTTACCCCAAAGATATGAATGTAGTGATCTGAAAGGGCATGTGCACCCCAATGTTTATAGCAGCAATGTCCACAATAGCCAAACTATGGAAAGAGCCTAGAGGTCCATCAACAGATGAATGGATAAAGAAGATGTGGTATATATACACAATGGAATACTATGCAGCCATCAAAAGAAACGAAATCTTGCCATTTGCAATGATGTGGATGAAACTAGAGGGTATTATGCTGAGCAAAATAAGTCATTCAGAGAAAGACAATTATGATCTCACAGATATGAGGAATTTGAGAAACAAGACAGAGGATCATAGAGGAAGGGAGGGAGAAATTAAACAAGATGGGACCAGCAAGAGAGACAAATCATAAGAGGCTCTTAATCTCAGGAAACAAACTGAGGATTGCCGGAGTGGAGGGGGGTGGGAAGGGTGGGGTGTCTGGGCGATGGACACTGGGGTGGGTATGTGCTGTGGTGAGGGCTGTGAAATGTGTAAGACTGATGAATCACAGACCTGTATTTCTGAAACAAGTAATACATTATATGTTAATTTAAAATATATATATGAGGGGCGCCTGGGTGGCTCAGTGGGTTAAGCCACTGCCTTTGGCTCAGGTCATGATCTCAGGGTCCTGGGATCGAGTCCCGCATCGGGCTCTCTGCTCAGCAGGGACCCTGCTTCCCTCTCACTGTCTCTGCCTGCCTCTCTGCCTACTTGTGATCTCTCTCTGTCAAATAAATAAATAAAATCTTTATAAAAAAATAAAATATATATATGCATTTTTTAAAATATATATATAGTCATTTAGGGACACCTGGGTGGCTCAGTCCGATAAGCGTCTGCCTTCTGCTCAGGTCATAATCCCACAATCCTTGGATCAAGCCCCAGAGGGAGGCCTGGGGCGAGGTGGGAGTGGAGGGGGTCTCTGGGGGTGGTCTCTTTAAAACAACAGTGGCTATGAGGTTAGACCTGGGGCACCTGCTTTCAGAGCTGCCTCTCCCTTTATCCCCAGGAGGCAGGAAGTCCCCGTGCCTGCAGGTTTCTGAAGTATCCTCCTCTATGCTTTTCTTGGAGTGGGGAAAGAGCTTCCCCACCGAAGCCAGTTCCCCTGCCAATGCAAGGTGCTCCCTTGTCTGGGTGGGAGTTCCTGCTGTGCCACTTCCTCTCTGCAGCTCTGGGTGGGTTTCCTACACTCTACACCCAGTTCTCCACATTTAGAGGGATAGCATCTACCTCTCAGGGTGGCTGCGAGGGCTGCCTGGTACACAGCAAGTGTTCAATAAACACTGGTTGTGGTCATTAGTGTTCAAGCCAAAAAAAAAAAAAAAGAAGCCTGCTTTTCCTTCTCCCGCTGCAGTCCCCCTGCTTGTGCTTGTACTCTCTCTCTCTTTCTCTGTCAAACAAGTAAATAAAATTTTTTTTAAAAATCATTAAAAAATAAATATAGTCATTTAAATAAATTCCACCTTAGGTACATTTAAGTCTACTGAACTCTCACTTAAAGGTATTCCTAGTTTTTCTTATTTTCTTGAAGTGATGAGTATATTGCTGTTTTTATAGTGTATATAAAAGTAACTTTTGTATATATTTGACAGATAACTATGTGAAGCAACATTGTTTCTGGATTTCAAGACATCCTTTCATCATGGGACAGCAATTTTCAGATCAGACACAGTTGGTTCTTAACAAGTTACCAGAAAAAGTAGCAAAACATGTCATATTGGTTCGAGAAAGTGGCTCCTTAACTTATGAAGAATTTCTTGGGAGAGTAGCAGAACTTAATGATATGTAAGGCTTGCTCTTTTTCATTTTATTTTTTCTACCTGACATGCCCCACATGCTATGACTGTGTAAGAGTTAACCAGAAATATTGATTGGTAAGACTGAATGTTTCAGTAGCAGCAAGCAAATATATATTGAGTACCTACTGTACGACCTGCTATGTGGCTATTTTAAAACATATATAGGAACAATGAACCAAACAGACTTAAAATTGAATTTTAAACACAGGCTTATAAATCGATTCTTATTTGAAAGCACTAAAGGTATGTAAAATAGAAGAGAATAAGCCAATTAGCCACTCTAGAAAAAGCTTCCAGGTATAGTCAAAGGGCACTCAGGTTTCTATACATCAGCCAATTCATCTAGTTAATAAATAAATCTTCTGTGTTTGTTCACTAAGCATTATTTTTGCCAGAGAAACACATAAATAGTAATAATTCATTTGTCACCACCAAGGAATAAGGTATTTTTAATTAATATTTTCCAATTAGCTATACCATCTTCAAATCTCTTTAATACTTAAATAGATTTCTAAGATGGAATTTAAATTTCTCTGCCTTCTAAAAGTACATATCTAATAGAACTGTGCCTTTTCTTTGTGAATTTTTCCTTTATTATATCAGTTTTTATACTGATCTCTATAGAAGCTATTAAAATAGAATCTACTGTTACTATCCAGTCATGAAGAATAAAGAATGTCTTAAAAGCCAGTTATCTTAGAAGATAGTTTCTTTTAGAAACATCAGATTTCCTCTGAAACTAATAATACATTAATGTTAATTAATTGAATTTAAATTTTTTTTAAAAAGAATTTAAAAAATAAAAAGAAACAGTGGATATCATTCATTAAAAAAAAAAAAAGGAGAAAGAAAGAAATCCTGTATGGATATATGGATGGATCTTGTATGAATATACATATAAATTCATAGAAAATGAACTCTTAAGTATACACACTAAGTTTCTGGGAAATTGGTGAAAAGGGAGGCAGGAAAGGGAGATTGTACATTTTACTGTGTATAATTATGTATTGTCTGATCTTTTATGATAAAAATATAGTCATAAAACTCTGGCACTTTATTTATTTATTTATTTATTAAATTATCCAAATGGTAATATTTGAGGCATTACTTCTGGGACCATATTCTTAAGGAGTAAAAATGGATTAAGAATTTAATAGTATCGTGAATGGAATGCTTTTTTAAGTTTATTGTTTTGATTCTGATGAAGAGTAGTCAATAACATTTGCCATCCCTTTAGAGTCTTGGAACTTACATACGTAAACCATCTGTTCTTTAAATTTTTGCCTTTTGGCTTTAAATGCCAGATAAGTATGTCATGTAAAAGGATACACAAGCTAAGCTTACTGTGTAGTACAAAAATGATGGTAAAGAATATCTTACTTTTATTTATTTAGCGTAGGACGTTGACTGGAATTAGTTCTTAAAACTGATTTCCATGGGTCATATTTGAGCGTTTCACAAGGGCAATGCTGCCTGAGAATTATAAAGTTAAATCTATACAGAAGAAGCATGGCTTGATAGCTAGAAATAGCTGGGTACTAGCGCAGATAAATTACTTTCACTGGCAGACTTTGCTACCTAGGGCTAGTTGCTTCATTGTCAGTGGCCTCTAGTTAGCTGTACATCGTTTAGTTCAAAGGTGATATCGCCACTGGTGCTCAAAGAGAAATGTGACTAATGATAAAAGGGAGCCACAATACTTAAGTATATCTTTGATCTAATTTAAATTGGCATTAATAAGAAGATACTGAATCTTCTAAAATTTATATTTTTATACTAGAATCCTATGGCTCTCTAAATTAAAATTATTCTGCTAGAGGAAAACAGCAAAGCTGTATTTAAGGTGTCTCAAAATCATTTGCTTTGATCCAGTCCCAAATTGTAAAAAAAAAATTTCAGAGTGGTGTGTGTTGTTTAAATTAGGACTCAACCAAGAGCAAGATTTTTTCATACTTTATACATCTAAGGCAATAGTCAAAATGTAGATAAGTGAAACTAGCTAAATTTCTTCTTTAAGTACCTGATTCCTTGGGCATGTTTTTTCTTTTTTTTGGGGGGGGGCATGTTTTTTCTAGATGTCTTTGTTAAACATTTAAAAGCTGTTGAGAGAGGCACCTGGGTGGCTCAGTTGGTTGAGCAACTGCCTATGGCTCAGGTTGTGATCCTGGAGTCCTGGGATCGAGTCCCACATTGGCCTCCTGCTCAACAGGGAGTCTGCTTCTCCCTCTGACCCTACCCGGTGTCATGCTGTCTCTCTCATTCTCTCTCTTTCAAATAAATAAAATCTTAAATAATAATAAAAATTAATAATAAATAAAGTAAAAATCATTGAGAAAGGGCATAAAAAGATTTGTAAATATTCTGTCAGCTATGCTGTTGATGTTAAAAACTTAGTTGTATGTTTCTAATCAAAACATTTCCATCCCAGTGTTTAAGAATCTACTATGATCATTATTGTTATCTGTCTCTGTATTTTCTTCAATTTTTTTTCTCTGTTTTAAAGTGTTTCTTGAATCTGGTTTCATAGCTCCATTGTTTTATAAGACTTTTCATAAAATTAGCAAATGTGTTTTCTCTTTGCAGAACTGCTAAAGTGGCTTCTGGCCAGGAAAAACATCTTCTCTTTGAGGTACAACCTGGGTCTGATTCCTCTGCCTTTTGGAAAGTCGTTGTACGGGTGGTCTGTACGAAGGTGAGAATGATAGAGACTTCCAACTCTGAACTTAAATTCTTTTGGTAATTAGAACCACATTTAATAGTCTAGTATAGTAGAAATAAATGTTAATAATTTGTTAATTATTAACATTTATTTGTAAAACTCTATAAAACACAGTTTTGTTTTGTTTTTTTTTAAAGATTTTATTTATTTATTTGACAGAGAGATGAGAGGCAGGCAGAGAGAGGAGGAAGCAGGCTCCCCTAGAGAGCAGAGAGCCCGATGCGGGGCTCGATCCCAGGACTCTGAGATCACGACCCGAGCCGAAGGCAGCGGCCTAACCCACTGAGCCACCCAGGCGCCCCTATAAAACACAGTTTTGTTAGTGTTATTGCCTTCCCAGTTAACTGTTTGAATCTCATTGGTTATACAGTTGCCATATAGCAGAGATTTTTATAATCAAAGGAGGTGGTAGTAACCTCTTACCATTCTACCTCTCTTTTCGGATTTTAGCTGGCTGTGGAATCCTAAGGTAATTCCCTACTTAGCTCTAAGATGACTCCCTAAAAATTAAAGTTATCTTAGGAGATCATTTCTTTTAAGAAGAATAGCTTCATTCACTTAATAATTTAAAAATCCATTAGAAAGATTTGAGTATTTTTAGTTTTGTGTTTTGGTTTTTGTGTGATTTTTCATTTCTGTTTTTAGAAATTTTTAGTTACAGACTGGATTTTTCACCATCAGTGTACTGTCTTTTAGTTGGTTTTTAAATCTTAGGTGATTGAGTATTGCTAAAAAACATAATAACAGCTGTCATAGAGTATGAGTAAGACTCATCCAACAATGGGTAGATTAGAGAGGTGGTAATTAATCTTTTTGAGGCCATAAACCTTTTGTTGAAAATGAAGGAATGCATTTTATTAGGCCTTCTCCTACCCCAACTCCTGCCCTAAAACAATAAAACCATCCATATGCATGTAAATAATAAATTGAGCATTCATGAATGCCCTGAATTCCATTCCTGATCAATCTGTAAAGAACTACTGGGTAAGAACATTTTTTTTTCTTTAGTGTCATGGACCCTGGAGGTTACCCAAATAATATGCCATGTTTTCCCAGTGGGTCAATTGCCAGTACTATGCTTTAAGTGTAGAAGGATTGATTATGGATATTTGATCAAATTAGATGTTATAATCAACTTAAGTAGTAAAAGAACTTTAAAGAGTTTAGAGAAGCAAAGACAGAGAGATGTTAATTCCATACTTGGCTAAGTGCCTGAAGGTGAATGGCACTTGTTAAAGTTTACAGTTGATTTAGAGAGAATACACAACATAGTTTAATACCATTTAGCTCGGTCTGTCCACACTAAACATTTACTTATGTTGATTATTTTTTATAAACATATAATGTATTATTAGCCCCAGGGGTACAGTTCTGTGAATCGCCAGATTGACACACTTCACAGCACTCACCATAGCACATACCCTCCCCAATGTCCATAACCCCACCACCCTCTCCATACCCCCCCTCCCCCCAGCAACCCTCAGTTTGTTTTGTGAGATTAAGAGTCTCCTGTGATTTGTCTCCCTCCCAATCCCATCTTGTTTCATTTATTCTTTTCCTACCCCCCAGACCCCCCATGTTGCATCTCCACTTCCTCATATCAGGAAGATCATATGATAGTTGTCTTTCTCTGATTGACTTATTTCGCTAAGCGTAATACCCTCTAGTTCCATCCACGTCATCACAAATGGCAAGATTTCATTTCTTAAATTACTCTTTTTTTTTTTCTTAAAAGATTTTATTTATTTGACAGAGAGAGAGAAATCGCAAGTAGACAGAGAGGCAGGCAGAGAGAGAGAGGGGAGGAAGCAGGCTCCCTGCGGAGCAGAAAGCCCGATGTGGGGCTCGATCCCAGGACCCTGGGATCATGACCTGAGCAGAAGGCAGAGGCTTTAACCCACTGAGCCACCCAGGTGCCCCAAGATTTCGTTTCTTTTGATGGCTGCATAGTATTCCATTGTATATATATACCACATCTTCTTTATCCTTTCATCTGTTGATGGATATCTAGGTTCTTTCCATAGTTTAGCTATTGTGGACATTGCTGCTATAAATATTCGGGTGCACGTGCCCCTTCAGATCACTACATTTGCATCTTTAGGGTACATACCCAGTAGTGCAATTGTTGGGTCGTAGAGTAGTTCTATTTTCAACTTTCTGAGGAACTGCCATGCTGTTTTCCTTATGTTGATTATTTTTAAAATCCAAATGTTGAAGAGCAATATGATAGCTGTCAGAGAACCATCATTAAAAATTTTTGTATTATTTATTACAGAGGTAGCTAATGTGGTACTAGTGTGGGCAGCAGTGTAACTTTATACAGTGTATAATATGTTACAAATCATAGTAACAGAACTCACATTGAAATACCGACGACTTGATCCAACATCCTGTTTGCTATTTATACTTGGATTCCTAGACTCAAAACTTGTATACCAACCACATATTTTGTCCATTTTCTGGGGTTTTTTTTTTTTATTTTTGCTTGGTTTTGGTACTGGGTTTATATTATATTTATGTTAAATTCATTAGGGTTTTTTCTTTTTACAGTGTTATTAATGCACATACTCTCTAAAAAACTCTGGGAATCCTCAGCTTTTGACTTTGCAAAGGAATAAAGTAAAGAAGAAATGAAGAACTGAGCTAAAAACCTGTAAAATATATTCAGACAGGCTCAGTATCTCCCATATCATCATCCCACAGCTGCAAATTTACACTGCACATAATGTTCAGGATTATATGAAAGTCAACTTCAAAGGACACAAGGGTGAATTTATAAGAACTCTAGCCATAAAGGTTATTTCTGAAAAACAAACATTCTGGCTCCTTTTCTTGCCTTCTCCACAGTAATTAGCTCTCTGATCTTGTCAATTTTCTCTCTACCAGGTTTCACTTTCCGATTATCCATAAGACAGATTCCATGCCCTGTAGGGGGCTGTAACTATAGTTCAGGCTTCTCTTCTCATCCAGATTACCTTAGATTCTGTGATTAATCACCAGACTTCCAGACTCTTCTCTTAATTCTAAGATAACCTTTCTAAAGCACAGCTCTCATCAGATCACTTTCCTAGCTAAAACTCAGCAACAATTCTTCATTGGCAACAGAATAGTCCCAGCTTGTTGACCTGACATTCAAGGTCCTGAACAATCTACCAACCTAGACTATTTTTTCTGTTTCAGTTACCACTATCACCTTTTGCACTCCAGTCTCACCAGGGTTAACTAATTAAAGGCTGTATAGCTGTTACTTTCCCACACGGTGGGAAATGAGCCTCTGCTCATTGGTTCCTTCAGCTAGAAAGTCCATTCCTCCCTCATTTAAATTGCTATCGGTTACAAGTCAGAAAACTCCTGTTACACTAGTTTAAAGAAGAACACTATGTATTTTCTCACTTTTTAAGAAATCCTTATACAAAGTGGCTCCCAGATTGGTTAATTCAAAGACCTAGCAGATCCCTCTTCTCAGTTCATTGGATCACTATCAGCTCGTGTCCCCTTCTTATACATTGACCAAAGAGCTACGATTACCATGATTGGTTTAGGTTAGACTAACCAGGACTGACTCTCGAGTCATTTCAGGGAGTGAGAGACACAAAAACAAAATCAGGGCTCTGCTGGCAATGAAAAGTGGGAATGGCTTGTGGGTAATCAGGTGATAGTTTCTCCCATATCTTTTTATTCCTGCATGGTTAGACTTAAAGTCTCTAAAGGTCCAACTCAAATACCATCTCATCCATAAAGTCTTCCTTAATAGAAATTCTCTTGCCTCTTCCAAACTCCAATAGCATTTCATTTATACTTCATAAACTAAATTCTACATTAAGAATAAAATTATTAGGTTCTAAGCTCCCCTAGTAGATAGTAAGTTCCCGAGGGCAGGAGCTCTGTCTAGATTCATCCTTTTATCTCTTATGGCCTGTACTGCTTTGCATCTGGTAGGAACTCAGTATATGTTGAGTGAACAAAAATCTGTATAAGTACTCTCATTTTAAATGACTGGGATAGGCTTAAGTTTTCCTTGTTGACTGATACAGTATAATACCTAAATTACATTCTCTCTCCATCTTTACCTCATAAAGTACTCAGCTTATGTTGAAGACGCCAGTATAAACTGTAGAGAGCTGTGGGAATATGAATATCGGGCTTCCGATCCCTTGGTATTCTGTTGCTCCTCTTTGGCAAACATAGAATTAATGTTTAAGATGTTAATTTACTGTTAGTCAAATTCCTTTCACCTCAGTATCTCTAACCATTACATCTGTATGCACTTAAACATCCTTCCTAAGACTCTAAATAGAAAAGCACAAATATTAAAGACCTATACAGGGGTGCCTGGGTGCTCTGTCAGTTAAGCATCTGACTTTTGATTTCAGCTCAGGTTATGATCTCAGCGTCATGGGATCATGCCCGGCGTCAGGCTCCACGCTGACAGAGTCTACTTGAGATTCTCTCTCTCTCAGTAGGCAGGCAGAGTTCTCATTTGTGTAATTTTTCTTGATTTTTAGATCTACTCCAAAGAAATGTTTTATTTGCATTCCCTAGGTTCTTACTGAAAGAATCTATGAGAAGTCGATGTTAACATTAGAAAAAAAATTGAAATCCTATGTGAAAACCTGATTGAGAAGAAATTTCTAATTTCTTAATCTTAAGCAACTAAACAATTGTACTATAACCTTCTGTATTTACAAAAAGACCTTTTCTTGACTGTCATCGGCTATCATTATTACCCTCAAACAATATTTAATTCATTATAAAAAATAATCTAAATGATGTTCAAATGAAATATTTTGTGGGAATAATATTAGAAAAATTAATGGGTTAATTAAAATTATAGACTAAGATGGCTATTAAGAAACTTCATAAATTGTATTATTTTTATCCATCTTGTTACTTAGACCAAAATCTTGGCGCCAGCCATCCTTGTCTTCTCTTTTTTTCTCCTATCCCACAGTCAATCCATAAATGAATCCTGATGGGTTTCTCTTCAAAATATATTCAGAATCTGGCCAGTTGTCACTATCTCCACTACTACTACCCTATTCTTAGTGACCATCATCTCTCACAAGGCTTATGCTAATAACCCCCTAACTGGTCTCCCTGCTTCTGCCCTTGCCCCCATAATTCTGTCTAATCTCAGCACAGCAACCAGTCTGTTCCACATATAATCTGAAATGAAATCAAATCATATTAGTCCTTGGCTCAGAACTTTCCAGTGACTTTCCATGCACTTGTAGTAAAAACCAAAGTTATTACTATGATTAGCGAAGCCCTATATGTTGTCTCACCTCGTCCCCCCACCCTTATCCTCTACCATTCTCATTCCCTCTCTCATTCTAGTCCAGCCCCCCTGCACTCCTGGCTGGACTCCTCGTGTTCCTCACCCAGTGCACTTCTGTGTGACAGCCCTCACACTTCGAAATATTCTTCCAACCTGGAATGATCTCTCCCCCGATACTCAAATGACTCATTCCTGCTCCTTTTCCAGTTCTTAAATATCACCTTCTCTGTGAGGCCTTCCCTACAACCCTTCAGTATATCTTCTTCTCCATTTAATTTCCTCCATAACACTTATTTCCATTTCACCTGATCTGTACTTTGTCTCTCCTGCCTATAGTGTAACCTCCGTGAGGGCAGGGATTTTGTTTATACACACTAGGTCACCAGTGCCTAGAACGGTGCACACAGTACATAGTTATGTGCATAATATCCATATAATGGGTACTCAGTAAATATTCGTTGCATGAATCCTATGATTATAGTAGCTTAGTTTGATCAATCTTGCTATTAAATACCAAGTTTATAGGAATTATTCCCTTATTTCTTCCAAACTCTGCAGTTCCAAAGGAAGTCTCGTCTAGTTTCCTCAGCTCTGAAAGTCTGTTGTAATGGCCTCTATGATTTCCTGTCACCTTTGATTCTCTGTTTTTGTCCTCTATCTCACATATAATCTTTTATTACAAAGAATCATACATATTTGCATCTCCATATAGATTTTACCTTCCCAAAATATCATCAGTTTTAGAGATTTATCTTCACAGTACAGAATCTGATTCATAATTGATTCTTAGTTTTTTCTCACTGCCTTCTCAAATAATAAACAGGTGATACATGTTAGTTACAACTATTATTATTTTCATTCCAAATTGAAATGTTGATATAATTTTTTTAATATGTAACCTATCTACTTCACCTTCCCATATGCCCAGTTCCATGAACACATTTCAGAACCTACTCTGCACAATTTTAAGGCCTTCTCTCCCTCTTCTTGCATTCATTTCTTTGTAAATTTTTTCTGATATTGTTTGTTCTGTTAATTTTGATATGTACTTAGTAGATTTCATTGCTTCTATTCCCATAATCTTCCTTACCATCCCCTGTGCTAAAAAAACAAAGTCTTTGCACCACACCCAGTGCTCCATGCAATACGTGCCCTCCTTAATACCCACCACCTGGAACAATGAATACTGTTACGTTGAAAAGAAATTTAAAAAGGAAAGAAAAAGAAACACTTAAAAAAAAAAAGATACAGAAAATATTTGAAGAAGAAATAACCAAAAATTTTCCAAATTTGACTTAATTTGGCGTATAATAGGTGAAAGAACCCATAACCAGCTGACCCACACTGCAAGAAATCTAAAAGGAAGTCCTTAAGGCAGAAGAAAAATCATGCTAGATGGAAATATATACCTACACAATGGACAATGAGTACTAAAAATGTTAGCTATGTCAAAAATTTAAGAATATTTTCTGTTATTAAAGTTTCTTTGAAAGATAATTGATTTTTAAACAAAAATAACATGAATGTAGTTTGGAGTTTATAACTTGCACAAAGGGAAAATGTATGCCAACAAATGCATAAAAGTAAAGGGGGGGGAGAATGAAAGTGTACTGTTTAAGGTTATCATAGCTGAAGTGTCATACCATCACATCAATGTAGACTGGTGAGATAAAGATGCATGGCTGTAAAGCATAAAGCAATAAACCATATAGCAGTTACTAAAATAACATAGTAGAGGATCAAAGGAGTGAGTTAACTAAGAAAATAAAATAACATGATGAATGGCTAAAATAAATAATAATAATAGATTAATAACACAAAGTGTTGGTGAGAACGTGAGGCAATACAAATTTTTAGACACTATTGCTGGGGGTATATTTTGTTATCACTTTCAAAAATACTTGAGAATATCTAATAAAGCTGAACATATGCACACTGTATGATGAAATAATTTCACCCTTACACATTCCTATATGTATATAACTATACATATATATGAAATTGAATATTATAATGAGTAAAGTGAAGCATATTTACACAATGGAATATTGTAAGCAAGGAGAATAAATAAAGCATACTACATATAATAATATAGATGAATTAAAAAAAAAAAAAAAACAGAGTCTTTCACATTGCTAGTCTGTCACTGATTACTTCAGGTTCTTCCAAGAACAGTACCCTTTCAACCCTATTTACTTTGATCACTTCAAAAGAAAATATATGACCCACTCTATGACTCCCTAAGTCTTATGAAAGCAATATTTTCTCTCCTTACCTCTTACCTCACACTTGCCCCAAATATCTCCTCACATTAAGAATGTAAGCTCCAGGGGTGCCTGGGTGGCTCAGTGGTTTAAAGCCTCTGCCTTCGGCTCAGGTCATGATCCCAGGGTCCTGGGATTGAGTCCCACATCGGGCTCTCTGCTCAGCAGGGAGCCTGCTTCCCCCTCTCTCTCTCTGCCTGCCTCTCTGTCTGTCAAATAAATAAATAAAATCTTAAAAAAAAAAAAAAAAAAAAGAATGTAAGCTCCAGGGATTTGCCTGGGTGGCTCAGTTGGTTAAGTGTCTGCCTTCGGTTCAGATCATGATCCCAGGGGCCTGGGATTGAGTCCTGCATTGGGCTCCTTGCTCAGCGGGGAGCCTGCCTCTCCCCCTCCCTCTGCCATTCCCCCAGCTTGTGCTCTCTGACTCTATCTCTCTGTCAAATGAAAACAATCTTAAAAAAAAAAAAAAAAAAAAAAAGAATGTAAGCTCAAGTGAGGAGAGGTACAATCTGTAGGCCACTGGTTCCACTTCGTATTAAATGAATTTTTTGCCAAAGCAAAGAGGGGTGCTCGCCAAAATGCAAAATAGCCTCCTGGGAAGAACTCAACCACTTTTTGTTAACATTTACTTTAATGTAATTTTCTTGCTTTAGTTTGGAAATTCTGGCAAAAACTAGAACTTAAGATATTCCAGAAGACAAGTAGTTGTTTCAAGTATAGTAGAATGGCATGTGGGTGTTGGATTCAAATAAATCTTTTAGTTAAATTCTTTAAGAAATTAAAAAGAATTGTCAATACTGATCTCTAAAATTCATTTTTTAGGTCTGGGAGAGTTATCTGACTTCATCAACTCTAAACAGGGTGATGCCTAATCAACCCTACAGGGTTATTTTGAGCATCAAATGAGCATCAAATGAGATAAATGTGTGCAAGTACTTTGAACTCCACTTCATTTGCTCAGACTTTTTCTCTTGTTAGGTAATTTGCAAACTTTGAAAACTTTTATTTCCTATGGTGTTTGACTTAATATTTCTTCCCCCTTTTTGGGAAAAATTGACCAGAGAAGAGGGATGGGTGAATTAGGTGATGGAGATTAAGGAGGACACTTGCGATAAGCGCCAGGTGTTGTATGTAGTAAATTCTACACCTGACACTAATATTTCACTGTATGCTCACTAACTGGAATTTAAATAAAAACTTTTAAAAAATGGCCAGAGAAATTATGAACTTTTTTCCTTTCTTTCCTTTTTTTTTTTTTTAATTTTATTTTTAGATCAACAAAAGCACTGGCATTGTAGAAGCATCACGGATCATGAATTTGTACCAGTTTATTCAGCTTTATAAAGACATCACAAGTCAAGCATCAGGAGTATTGGCCCAGAGCTCCACTTCTGAAGACCAAGATGAAAACTCATCATCTGTAACATCTTGTCAGGCTAGTCTTTGGATGGGAAGGTATAGAATGCATAAGAACCATATTTCTCTTGTTTTCTAATACACGAGCTACTGAAATCACAGTAATACTTTTGCTGGTCCCCTTGTGATTTCTGAATCACATTACTTTTTATCTCAGTTGTGTTGTATCCCAGATAAGCTTTTGGATTATTCTGTGCTTCAGGATGTTGTTAGAGTGCTAAATTAAAGAAAAATTAAAGTGGCTCACACCAGCTAATGTTTCTTTCAACCCAGTTTCCATGAATGCACTCTCCACTCTACATGCTTGCATTTAATAACAGAGGATATTAATATCTCTCTTATAACAGGTATTTATGTTATTAAACAGTCAAAGCCCTTCAGGGAATTAGGTCTAAGAATCTGGCAAAATCATTCCAGTTTTCCTTCAAAATATCTGACTAATTGGAGCATTAGAAATTGTAAATATTGGCAGACCATTCAGGAATGAAAAAGTAGTTGGTGTACGAACTGCATATACTGAGTTACCAGAAGGAAATGAAGTCAGCCAGAGTTTTCTTTGATGGCGCTTGTTTACTCAGGCCTAGTGTATTATTGTTCTATCTAAACTTTCTTTTCCTTCTCTGTAATGCTCTTGGCATGTGAAAGCTTCCACCTGTTGCCATTTGACAACCATGACCATAATTTAAATTTGTAAATGCCTCATTGGAAAAAGTCTTACGTGGGTCCATACATGTTGACATCCTGTCTTATTGTCATCCTGAATGGACAGCAAAAATCTGTATCGACAGTATTTTTTACCTTAAAATTAAGAATATGCTTAGCAAGAATTTCTCTTATTGCTTGATTTACAGTTGCATTTTCTGGTCCATTCTTAGCCAACTGGTTTTCAAAACTATATTGTGGTAAATCTGTATCTCCATTTGTCATTTTCTGTTTATCATTATAGAATTGTTTGGTTTTCTGGGTTTGGGCTGTACAAGTGGTACTGAAATGCCAAGTGAGTTTTAGAACATGATAGGCAGTGTTTAGGGTTTTCTTTTCTGTATTTTGTAAAGTTAATCTTTCACAGACAGGTGTCTGATTTTCTGCTTTTCTTCCTCTCCCTGTTCAGAATGGCAGTTTTTGTTGTTGTTGTTGTTATTGTCTTGTCTTGTTTTGTTTTAAGTATCTTGAAAGCTGAGACTAGGACTTACCAGGATATTTAAACTGTGTGGTAGCAAATGAAAGTAATACTTTTTTCTTGTTGTAGTCATCTCAATGAAAGAGGTAAGGGTGTTATCCCTGGAAACTCAGTGCCTCATTGGTAGATTAGGGCTGCTTCTTGCCTTTGTATGTTTTTTGGTTTTGAGTTCTACCCTGATACTCTAGTTCATAGAAAAACAGACTTTTCAAGTTGAAGGTGTTTTAAAGGATATTTATTTGGTTTAGTCTTATATCTGATACATGTTTTTGTTAATGGTTTACATTTATTGAGTACTTACAGTGTATTAAGCATTTTGATGAGTGCTTTACATATAAACTCATTAAATCCTCACAACAACCCCATGGGGATACAATTACTGGTCCATTTCAGAAAATCTGAGGATTAGACAAATAAATGACATGGCTAAAAATTAGCCTAGCCGAGGTTCACATTCAGATGAGGCTGGCAATACAACCATGCCCCTAACCTCTGCATTACTACTCTCCAATGAGTAAGGACTGTACCACAGAGCTTCTTAAACTTTGTAGTCAATGGTTTCGAGGAGGAACTTGAGAGTCCGTCAAGCTCCCACATGGAGTCACTGCTGCTGATCCACCAGTAAGACTTTGAGTAGTAGTAGTCTTGTCACATTTTGTCCAGCTTGTACTTGAACATCTGAAGGTATATGGGACTCAGTGCCACACAGACACAAGCCTTTTCTTACACAGATGGCTCTAATCACTGTGAAATGTTCCCTTTCGCATTATATTCCTCAGGACAGCCAAAATCTGACTCTCTTGAGGCAGCATAGCACAGACTCTAGAACGAAATTGCCTGTGTTCGAATCCTGACTCTACTCCTAACTGTGTGACTTTGGACAAGTTATTAAACTATTTTTCCTCTTTTTCCTCATTTTTTTAAGAGAGGATAATAACAATAGTATCTGCTTCATAGGATTCTTGAGAGAACTAAGTGAGTCAAGATATGTAAAATGCTTACAACAGGGCCTGGCATGTAATAATATGTAAGAGTTCACTGTTATTATTTTTTTTTCATTATTTTAAATTTACTACTGTATTCTAGTTATTTCAGTGGCAGTGCCCTCTGGATCCCACCAAACAAATCTGTTCTCTCTTCAGCCCTTCAAATATTTGAAAACATTAATCAGATTCTCACTGGTCCTTTGTTCTGCACGATGAGCATCCCCACTTCCTTCGGCCTTTGTTCTATGGGTCTCTTTCCTATCCCAGAAGCTTTCCTGGAAAATCCTTTATCTGTCAAAATATCTTTCAGGGTAGAGGCCATAGAACTCAATATTCCATTCTACAAGTGGTGTAACAAGGACAACTAGAGCAAGACCCTTTCTCCTTCCTTCTTCTAGTTAGTGTACTGCTAGGAAGGTAGCAAGAAATCAAGTGAACATTGTACAGCTTCCGCTGGCTGCTTCTGTGTTTCCTGTGCTTTCTTTTACTTCTGTCCAGAGCAGTGCTCTTCTTCACAGCCTTCTAACCTTCAGAACTCTGTCCCTCGTTTTGGATTCAGTTAAGTCTCTGCTACTGACACATCCTTAGACAAATTATAAGCTGCTCAAAAGTAGAGACCCCAGTTCATCTGGGTCTGATCCAGAATGTAGCACCTAAGAGATGTGGAAACATTGAACTGAATATATCTAGAAAATGAGATGCGTGTCCATCTACATTTCATTCAGTTTCCCCACTTTGATTCAGTGTCTTCCTTCTTTTGCCCATAGGTTTAACCTATTACCCACATCCTGACGATGTGTCTTTTGTAATGTCCCTTTACTGGGCCCTATCTCCCAAGTGAATTGCTGAAGTAAGGATCTGATTGATTTTCCTCCCTCTAGAATGTCCCATACTGCATTCCCAATTAGTCTTCCTAAATACAATTTCAGTGGGGGTTCACTTTTCTTTTGATCAAACTCTGATTCTAGTTTGCCAATCAGAATAAGTTTAAACATATTTTGACATTCAGGGATCAGATTGTTATATACACACTCCAGAAGTATTTTTTTTCCCTACCTCAACAACTTTGTTTATTCACCTACAATGTCCTCTCTCAAAGGTATGTCACTTTTCAACCTCATCTTTCCAACAAATTTGAAATACTCATTAATACTCATTTGTTCCTTCTTAGCACTTACTACTTGCATATTTACATTTGCTTATATTCTTTTTTATGTTCAAATTGACAAATTTTAAAGTGGTATTTCTTGTGTGTGTGTGTGTGTGTGTGTGTGTGTGTGTGTGTGTGTGTGTTCAGTTAGCCACTGTATAGTACATCATTAGCTTTTGATGTAGTATTAGTGATTCATCAGTTAAGTATAATACCCAGTGCTCATCATAGCACGTGCCCTCCTCAATACCCATCACCCTGTTATCCCCTCCCCCAACACGCCTCTCCTCTGAAACTCTCAGATTGTTTCTCAGGGTCAATAGTCTCTCATAGTTCATCTCCCTCTCTGATACCACCCCCCGCTTTGGATTTCCCTCCCTTCCCCTGTGGTGCTCTGTGCTGTTGGTTATGTTCCACGTATGAGTGAAACCACACGATAATTGTCTTTCTCTGCTTGACTTACTTCACTTAACATAATCCCATCCAGGTTCATCGATGTCGATGCAAATGGTGGGTATTCATCCTTTCTGATGGCTGAATAATATTCCATTGTATATATGGACTACCTCTTCTTTATCCATTCATCTGTTGAAGGGCATCTTGGCTCCTTCCACAGTTTGTCTATTGTGGACATTGCTGCTATGAACATTGGGGTGCCTGTGCCCCTTCTTTAAAACACCTCTGTATCTTTGGGGTAAATACCTAGTAGTACAATTGCTGGGTCGTAGAGTAGCTCCATTCTTAACATCTTGAGGAACCTCCATACTGTTTTCCAGAGTGGCTGTACCAGCTTGCATTCCCACCAACTACAGTGGTATTTCAATGTCCTGTATATAGTAGTACAAGCACAGTAGGGAATAAAAACATGTCAGAGATACCTTCTGCCTTTAAGAAGTTTATAGTCTAGTGACTCTACTTTGAAACATTTCGCTTTTGCATAATTATGAAAGTGATACATGCTTGATAAAGAAAACCTAAAAATTATAGAACAGCATGAAGGATAAAAGCAAATTAAAATCACTTTAAGAAACATTTATTGAGAACCTCAGACAAACTGCCTGTATTCAAAGAACTTTGAGTTTGTAGTTATACCAATCAATTAGCAGCCAATTAAAATGCAATATATTTTTTAATGCAATATTTTAAAGTTCTTTAATTGAGGCAAATATTGGTTTTGAGAGTGGAGAGAAGGTATTCTGAGCTGAGTTACTAGCGTTAGAGTTTACCAGACTCACAGGGATATTCCAGGAAAAGGAAATACCACATGCAAAGGCACTCTGCTGACTTGGGGGTGCCGTACACTGGGGCTGGAGTAGAAGGTTCAATATCTCTTCCCAAGATGAAAGAGCTCCTTAAGGACAGAGAAAGATAGGAAGCAAACTTCTTATCTTTTATATTTCCTATAGCCCCAATTATTCAGACTAAGTTATTCTTTCATGTATATGCCCATTATCAGCATCAGCATGGTAATGTCCAAGGGCAAGGTCCCTATTTTAGAGAGCTTTGTATCCTGCATGGCAAGTAAATCTTCTGTCAGTTGAGTTCATTTATATAAATGTGATATGATTTAGATGGACTATAATTTTCAGAAAGACTTGAGTATTTCCAGTTTTTATTTGTATATTCTTTTTGATCTTCACAGTATTTATCTATTACCCAGCCTTTCTTTATGAAATTTGTCCCTCTTAGTACTTCTTCCCTAAATATATTTGTTATCCCTAAAATTTAGTCTGATTTTGCATGAGTCATGTTTTGCTTTATATTGAGGGTACATTGTTTTTTTTTTTTTTTTTTTTTACTTTTTTTTTTTTAATTTTATTTTTTATAAACATATAATATATTTTTATCCCCAGGGGTACAGGTCTGTGAATAGCCAGGTTTACACACTTCACAGCAGTCACCATAGCACATGAGGGTACATTGGTTTTTGATAATCCTTTCTAAGGCAATGGAGACAAAGTTAAAGCATAATGACAACAGAGAAGATTTATGCTTTCACATTGCAGGGTGAAGCAGCTGACTGATGAGGAGGAGTGTTGTATCTGCATGGATGGTCGAGCTGACCTCATCCTGCCTTGTGCTCACAGCTTTTGTCAGAAATGCATTGATAAATGGTAAGTTATCTGCTGCCGTCATGAGATAGGCAAAGGTCAAATGAGAAAGTGTCTATGAATAAACTCCAAAAAATATAAAAATATTGTATTTAAGTATAAGAGATTTTGTTCTTTAGTACTTTGAATTGTATGACATGCTTCCTTCTCTATTTAAAAATACTTTTATATTTAAAGTTTATAATGTGGCAATGTGTCTTAGCTTTGGCAGTTTACTGTTGGTCTAAGATTTGTGCCTGACTTGAGTCTAGAACCACGAGTTTCCCTCTTTCTTCGTTTTTCTCCTCATTTCTGTATTTTTCCTCTATCTTTGATTAAAAGGAATAATATGAATCATTGAATACTGATTATTGGACCTGGAGGGAACTTTAGAGATCAGCTAGTCAAGTTCATTATTTTACAAAATAAGAATGAAGCATTTAGATGACTTTATAATTGACATACCATAAACTACATATGTTTAAAGTACAATTTGATACGTTTTGACACATGTACACACCCATTAAAAAAAAATCACAATTCAGATAATGAACAAATTCATCACCCCAAAAGTGACTCTGTGCCTCACTGTAAGGTCTCCTTCCCAGCCCTTCCTTCCAGTCCCCAGATAAGGATTAATCTGCTTTCAGTCACTACAAAACTAATTTGGATTTTCTAGAATTTTTATAAATTAAATCATACAGCATGTGCTCTTTTTTTTTCATTCAGTGTAATTATTTTGAGATTTATCCATGTTGTAGCATGTTACCAGTAGTTTCTCCTTCTTTTAGGATTTTATTTATTTATTTTTAGAGAGAGATAAAGAGCATGAGTGGGAGGAGGGGCAGAGGGAGAGGGAAAATGAGAGAATCCCAATCCCATGACCCTGAGATCACAACCTGAGCCAAAATCAAAAGTTGGATGCTCAAAAGACTAAGCCACCCAGGTGCCCCACAGAAGCTCCCTTTTTTGTTGCTGAGTAGTATTCATTGTATGATATACCACAGTTTATTTATCTAGTCACCTGTTAAGGACATTGGGTTGTTTCCGATTTTTGGCTATTACAAATGAAGCTGCTATGTACATTTGTAGACAAGTCTTTTTACAGACATATATTTTGGGGTTTTTGTTTTTGTTTTTTTGTTGTTGTTATTAAATACTTAGAAGTAGAATGTCTAGATCATGTGGTAGGTATATGTTTAACTTTTTAAGAAACTGCCAGCTGTTTTCCAAAGTGGTAGTACCATTTTGCACTCCCACCAGCAATGTCTGAGAGTTCTAATTGCTCTACAACTTTGCCAATACTTAATAGGGTCAATCTTTTTTTTTCTTTCTTTTTATTTAATTTTAATTCCAGTATAGTTAACATCAGTGTTAGTTTTAGATGTGCAATATAGCAATTCAACAGTTTCATATTTTACTCGGTACTCATCAAGGTAAGTGTATTCTTAATCCCCTTCACCATTTCACCCATTCCCCACCCCCACCTCTCTGGTAAATATGGTCAGTCCTTTTAATTTTAGCCATTCTAATAGATGTGTAGTGTTGTCTCATGGTAGTTATAGTCTGTTTTTCCCTACTGACGGATGACGTTGAGCATCATTGTATATGCTAAATCTGTATGTCTTCTTTGGTGAAGTGTCCATTCACATCTTTTGCCCATTTCTTTATTGGATTGTTTTCATATTAAGTTTTAGAGTTCTTTCTGTATTGTGAATACATGTCCTTTATCAGATATTTGACTGGCAAATATATTCTCCCACTTTGTGATTTGTCTTTTCATTCTCTTAAGAATGTCTCTGAAAGAGTAAAAGTTTTTAATTTTGATGAGGTCCAGTTTATCAGTTTGTGATTTATGCACAGTGATTTATCTAAGAAATCTGTCTAACCCGAGGTCACAAGGATTTTCTTCTGTTTTGGGGAAGTTTGATAGTTTTAGGTTTTACATTTAGGTCTATGATCCATTTTGAGTTACTTTTTTGTATATAGCTTGAGGTACCAATTAAATTTCTTTTTTTTGCCTATGGCTATCCAGTTGCTCTAGCACGTTTTGTTGGAAAGACTTTCTTTTCTTCACTAAATTGCCCCTTCACCTTTTTTGGAAATCAGTTGTTGAAATACACATGGGTCTATTTCTGGACTCTGTTCTGTTCCATTGATCTGTTTATTTCATACCAATACCACACTACCTTGATTAATGTAGCTTTCTAGATCTAAGTCTTAAAATCAGGGACTGTGAGTTCTTCTTTAGTTTGTTCTTTTTTGTCATTTTATTCTGATTCTTTTGCATTCAGAATGAGTTTTAGAATCAATCTCTCTTTCCACCAAAAAAACCTATAAAGGTTTTGCATTAAGTAAATAAATCAATTTGGAAAGTATTGACTTCTTAACAATATTGGGTCTTTCAGTCCGCAAACAGTATACATCTCCATTTATTTAGGTCTTCTTGTATTTCTCTCATCAATTTTTATAGTTTTCAGTATTGCATATCTTTGACAGATTTATCCTTAATTATTTTAAATTTTATACTATTTTAAATATATTTTTTATTTCAATTCCTGATCATTTGTTGCTCATGTATAGAAATACATTAGACTTTTGTGTATCAATCTTGTATTCTACAAACTTTTACTAAATCCATTTACTAGTTCTGATAGCTTTTCTGTAGATTTCATAGGACCTTCTTGAATGTCTGAACATCCTTTTTCAAAGATATTTTTTTCTGGATATAGAATTCTAGACTGATACTGTTTTTCTTTCGGTACTTTAATGATATTGCTCCACCCTCATTTTTCTTGCCTTGTTTCCCATGAGAAATATGCTATCACACTAATCTTTTTTCCTCTGTAGGTAATGTTATCTTTTTTTTTTTTTTTTAAGATTTTATTTATTTGGGAGAGAGAAATCATGGGGCAGAGGGGAAGGGAGAGAGACAAGCAGGCTCCCTGCTGAGCACAGAGCCCAATGTAGGGCTCAGTCCCAGGACCCTGAGATCATGACCTGAGCTGAAACTAAGAGTTGGAGGCTTAACTGACTGAGCCATCCTGGCACCCCTGGTAATATTGCCCTTTTTCCTGTGGCTGCTTTTAAAGGGTTTTTCTTTATCATTGATTTGAGCAGTTTAATTATGATATGCCTTCCAGTAGTTTTCTTTGTGTTCCTTGTGCATAGGGTTCATTGAGCTCCTTGGATTGGTGGGTTTACTGTAACATCAATTTTGAAAAATTTTCAGCCATTATTTTCTTAAATATTTTTTCTGTCCTCTCCCTTCTTCTTGGACTTCAGTTACACATATATTAGACCACTTCTAGTTGTCCCACAGCTCACTGTTGCTATTTTCCTTTTTGAAGTCATTTTCTCTGTATTTCATTTTGAATAGTTACAGTTGGTCTGTCTTTTCCAACTCACCAGTCTTTTTTTCTGCAATGTCTAACTTGTCATTAGTTCCATCCAATATATTTTTTACTTCAGACATAGTTTTCATGTCAAGAAGTTTGATTTCAGCTTTTAAAATATCTTCCATGTCTCTACTTCATATGTTTGGTCTTTCCTCCAGTGTTTTTAATACAGAGAATACAGTTATGATAACCATTAATTTTCTTGCCTGCTTGTTCTAACATCTGTGTCTGCTCTGGATTGGTTTTGATTGATTTTTTTCCTCTTTATTTGGGGTTGTATTTTTCTGTTTCTTTTCATGCCCGGTAGTTCTTCCCCACCACCCCTACCCAATGCCTGGTAGTTCTTGACTGGGTGCCAGACATTGTGATTTTTACCTTTTTGGGTACTAGGTATTTTTGTATTCCTATAAATATCCTTGAGCTTTTTCTGGAATATAGTAACTTGGAAACAGTTTGATCCTTTTGGGTCTTGCTTTTGTGATTTATTAGGCAGGACCAGAATAGTGTTTAGTTGAGAGCTAATTATGCCCCACTAATGAGGCAGGACCCTTCAGAATCACTCTGCTCAATGCTCCAGGAGTTAGGAGGCTTTCCAGTCTGTCTGGTGAGAGAAGGCAATATCCCAAACTGTATGTGAGTTTGGAGTATTCTTCCTTCAAATCCTTTTGGATGGTTCCTGAGCCTCACGTAGTTTCCTTACATGCAAATGTACTCTAGGGGGAACTTCAGTAGATTCCAGAATTCTCCCTTTGTGCAGCTTTCTGCATTTAAGTACTTCAGTACTCTGCCCTGTGAACTCTAGCTGCCTTGGCCTCCTGAGAATTTCAGCTGTGTCTCTTCAACTCAGAGAGTCTGCCAGGCTCCACCTGGGCTTCTCCTTCTTGCTCCACAGCCTAAAGATTCTCAAGGCATAAGCTAGTGATTGGGGCTCACCTTCTTGCTTCCCATCCTCAGGGATGACTGTCCTGTGTTGCCGATGTTGTCCAGTGTTGAAAGTCTTGTTTCATGTTTATTTCCAGTGCTTTAATTAAGTGGGAAGATAAATCTGGTCCCTTTTGGCCAGAAGCAGAAGTTAACCATCAAAATTGTGACTTTTATGCACATTAAAGAACATAGAGTTATCTTAATAAAATATCTCTGAGGAACCAGAAATGAATCTGAATAATATATGCCAGCTCTAGCTTTCACATCTAGTTTTTGGAACAGATTTCTAAATTTTTGTACAAAAGCCAAAGCAATTGATATAATTTAATTACTTTGGTCTCAGATTTCACTGAGAAATGAGGAGAAAAACATTTTCCCTGCATGACATGTTTCTGGCTCAAATGTGGTATTTTTGAAATTTCCAAAATAATATTTGTCAAGACAAAAAAAAAAAATCCCTTCAGAAAACATAATCTCATTCAAGTGATCATGTATAAGTTCTTTCCCTATTGGAAAAATTATTCTGCATATAAGGTTCATCTTCTATTTTAAACCTTGAATGCTTCCATTCCCTTGTTTGTAGCTGCAAAAGATAGGGGAAAACTGAAATGTCCTCTGTAGGAGACTAATTAAATGAATTGTGGTCTGTCCATACAGTGTTATATTTAAAAAGAACAGATAGCTCTAGCATGTACTACTACATAATGGCCTATAAGATATATTGACAAGTTTAAAAAAAAAAAAAGCAGATATATATATATGCCCCCCCCAACACACACACACAAGTTTAATCATGCTTAGTCTTTTCCTGGAAGAGTATGTAAGAAACTACTAACAGTAGTTGCCCCTGGGGATAAGAATTAAAGATCGGGGTGGAAAGAAGAGATTTATTTTTCACTGTATACTTTTATTGCTGTTCACTTTTTTTTAAACCATGTACATTGTACGTGTATTACTTTTCAAACACACCGGTTTTTTTAAAAAGAAGAAAAAGAAAACAAACTGTTCTTTATTTGACTTCTCTGATAGGAGTGATCGACACAGGAATTGCCCTATTTGTCGCCTGCAGATGACTGGAGCAAATGAATCTTGGGTGGTATCAGACGCGCCCACCGAAGACGATATGGCTAACTATATTCTTAACATGGCCGATGAGGCAGGCCAGCCCCATAGGCCATGACCTTGGGGTGAAGGTCTTCTTTTGCTATTATGAGCTACAAACGTTTTGGTCATGGGAGAAGAATGCAGGGATATTGTGGTACAGACACAGAGAAATCAATTTTCCCTTCCCTCGTATTTTCGCTATTCTGACGATTTGTTCCATTTCTTTTGATAAACTTTCCGTGTCTTCCATTTATAGTAAACTAAAATTTGCTACTGTTTTAGACCATATTTTTCTATTATTTATCTGTTCTAATATATATTAGAACTAATTGCTCTTGAATTCTTTGCTGAGGTAACAGCAACATTTCCAGAGGCTTCTAAAACACTATTTTTCAGGGCAGGAGTATTCTGGAATCTATTTAGTTAGGTTTAAAATAAACCTTGAATGTCAAAAAGTTGTAGCCATCTGAGAGAAAATTTGAAGTGACTGAAAATGTAGACTACATCAAAGTGCATGTTACTACTTAAATTAGTCTTTCTGCTGGAATCTAAGGAGTGTGTATGCCCCCTTGTGGTTAATTATTGCTCCTTTAATAATTTTTACTTGAAATGATCCACAGTTGTTTCATAACTTTAGCAGTGTGTTTGGAACTACATGTTTGTTACTCAAATCTTTTTTGTTTGTTTGTTTTCATGCTGTATAATTTGGATGAGGCGTGATTTTGCCTTATAAATGGATTTCTGCTGAGGAATCTTCTTGGCTATTCTGGAAATGCTTTCCCACAGCGGGGAAACTGCTCTAAGTAGCTTTTGGATAATGCTCATGCACTTTGGAGTTTCAGAAGGAAATTTTTCTTCAATTCAGATCCTGAATTTTGTATTTCCAAATTATGATAAATCATTCAATATTGGTTCATGGTGCTTTTATTTTCTTAACTTTGAAGGCATCTTTCTGAGGTCTCCAAGTCTTCAAATTTCTAATATTATTAAGAGAGAAAATAGGGTGTAGGCTTTTAAACATATGTACCATAAACATGGAGAAAATTAGGAGATAAATTGGCTTTCTGCTGTTTCATGGTACTTTGAAATACTCAGAGAGAGTATAGTCATAATGGAATTATGATTTTCAGTGACACTTCATTTTTTTTACTAAATTCTGCTTATAAGGTAAAATTTTTGTTTTATATTAAGCATTAACATTTTAGCATATAATGAAACTAGAACCTGATGTCTCCTTTAAAAGGTGTGTTAAATTCCAGTAACTTTTCTGACTTATTATTGGTTAAGTTGTGATACTATTTTCCAAAATACCAAAGTATGCGATTTAAGTTGCTGCTTATTGATGGCAGAATTTTTGGATACTAGGGGTTTAATAGGCATGCAAATTAAATAATTCATTTATTTAATGTCAGAATGTCTGACCAAAGGTAGCTTGATTTTACCCAAAAAATATTGATAACTAATTGGTTGACATTTATGATGGGGACAGCTCGGTCAAATAGCCGAACACTCACTATGGATGTTTATACAGGCAGCGTACCAGGGGCTCTAGCATACCAACCTGGCAATGCACTTGATGGTTTGTGTGACCTTAAAAAAGTCCCTTCTGCTGGTTTGTAGGTTCCTTTAGAAACTGAGATTTCATCCGTAGTATTTTCTTATTTTATTTCAGAAGTACAGCCTCTTTTTTTTTTTTCAGATAAAATCTTACTCAGAAGCCCTACACACACATGCTGTACCCCGAACACACACACACACACACCCCACCCCTCTATATGAAAGTCTTATTTTATTGATAAAAATTTCCTTATGTAAACTTTATATACCATAATAAATATTATAAAGTCAACCAATAAAAACATTTATTAGGGGCGCCTGGGTGGCTCAGTAGGTTAAGCCTCTGCCTTCGGCTCAGGTCACGATCCCAGGGTCCTGGGATCGAGCCCCGCATGGGGCTCTCTGCTCAGCAGGGAGCCTGCTTCCTCCTCTCTCTCTGCCAGCCTCTCTGCCTACTTGTGATCTCTGTCAAATAAATAAATAAAATCTTTAAAAAAAAAAAAAACATTTACTAATGCATTGGCACTATCCAGGATATTCAAATTTAGTGAGTAATGTAGTCATATGATAGGAGTTGTTTTTTAAATTATTTTTTTAATTGTTTTAATTAAATTCAAGTCAGATTTGCAGAACTTTGACTCTCCTCAATGAAGTCTTAGTATTCCATGGGACATATTTGGAAAACCTTAGGGTAGATGTTGTCTGAGATCTTTTTCCAGCTTTAAGATTCTAAATTGTCCTTTTGGATTAGACTTGCTGAGTCTAACTCAGATTGCCTAATTAAAGAATGTTTCTGAAAATGAACAAAGTTGCTGTACGTGTTTTTGGATCTTTCCAGGTATAGCCAATGATCTTATCCCCCAGAATCCTTCACCTTTCGAGGAATTATTTAGCACTAAGCCCAGTGACTTGATGTTGCCCAAACCTTTTTACTTTCCAATATGAGCTCCAGGATACTAACTGATCTACTGTGAAATAGAAAGTGTTTTTATTAGTCTTATTAAATAAATGAGCACAGTTTTTTGCTCACTCCATTAAACTGGGTGATAATTCTTTAGATGTGAATGTTAGGTAGGTTCTACTATTATAACTAATCATAAAAGTTGTAAATTTGTTTAATGGATGAAATGTACACTTTTTGTATTCTGTACAGCTTTGTCTTTTCCAAATATGAAGTACTTAAATGCACTTACTAAGATAGGAGATATGATGTGTGCCTTGTAGGATCTGTGAAATGTTTTCATGAACTGTAAGGAATTTGTTTTATAAGTTATGAAGTTTTCCCTATCCTAACTCAGTAACAAGAAGTTTACTCATACTGTAATGCTATAGAACTTTAGTTTGAGAAAATTTAGTTTGACTAGGTACTGAATTTAGAAGTTGAGAATAATAGTATCTGCTTTATTCTTAGAACAAACTGATATATTGTGCAATAAATAATCTTTAGCAAGTAAATTTTAGCTTACTAGAGAAACTTTTTTCTTACATAGTTTCACATTCTTATATACTAAATGTTTATATTTCTTAGAGGACCATTTTGTATTGTGCTCTGGGGAGTTGTAATGTTTGTGTGCTATGTTTTAAAATTCGTTTCAAATTGGATTCAATTTCATTACACCTAATATATATCTGGGTTATAAGGCGGCTTGAAAATATCTTTTGGTTCCATGATTTTTAACAGTGGAAAGTTGGATTCATTAAAAGGCAGTCTGAAGAATTTGCATTTTTAACTGTTTTTTTTCTTCATGAGAGAAAGTAAGACAGGCTTACTTTGTCTACCCAGGAATTAAAAAAACTAGTTGGAGATGAGGAAAGTCAGCTGATCACCTACATTGTGATGGGCAACATAATGACAATATAATACAAATAGTTGGCAACAGACTTTCATTTGAGCTCATGTCTTTTTCCTGTAGGACAGTAAAAAATAATAGATAAAATACTCCACCCTGAATTAGTTTTAATGTTTACCTTATAAAATCACTTTCAAAATGATTATAAAGAATATAATTAGAGAAGCAAGGTAGAATCTTAGTGCTGAGAAGAGGAAAGCCTTTTATAAGAAGGAATGGTAGTTTATCATTGAATTTGCTGATGTACATCATCTTGAAGAAGTACGCATTTTGGTATCATAAAAGCCTCCTCAGAAATATATTGATAATCTTGCAGCTCTGTATAGCCTTACTCTCCGGCATCCTTGATCTTTCTGATAAAATGCTTATTTAAAGGCTGAGGATTTTAAAATTTCCAAGAAACTATGTTTTTTTGATTAGTGTTCCTTTCATTGCAGTTAGTTAGACTTGTCCTTTATAATAGTCATAGTCAGGCATCGAGTGCTTAGGTATATTACCAACATTCCACTTTCAGTCGTGTCTAAAGCCCCAAAAAAGATGAATATTGTTTCACCAGGGCAGCACTCAGAAACAAATAAAGAGGAAGCCAGAAGGATGTGCTTGCAACTCTGTTTTAATCCAGGATAAGAGGAAGTAAAGGCCAGGACAGGCCTCGGTACATACCAACCCAGGAGCTGTGATTTGTTTTCATGTGGCAAAGAGCAGTATCATCAATCATTTCAACAGTACAGTCTGAAGTAACACATACATGAACCTGAGCCTGTCAGAGTAAGGGATACGTGCCTCCAAATTTGTTCTTCTAGAAACGTGAGCTAGTGTACACTTGCCTTTGATTCCAATTGTGAACACAAAAGAAAGTAGGGATTTACACCCCCCCCAAGGCCAATTAGGTATAAAGATGTGATAAAAATGCAAAGTGCTATTGAAAAAGGTATCTGAAAAGTTTGCAGGACAGGTGAAATCGAACAAGTATTAGCTGAATAAAGTAATATCCAGGGGAAAGGAACACATGTGGCTTTGCTCTGGAACTATAAGAGGGCTGACGTTTGAGGAGAAAGATAGTAATGGTTTACCTTCTGGGTCTAGTGAACTTCAGTTTAAAATTTGTATTTACTGTGAAAGTCATCCATGTCTGAGTCTTAGTGAAAGATAAGTTAGTAGTTACTGGTAACTTTTCATGATGTCCCTTTTTTCTAATGTTTTATCCAATATAGTTGACACACAGTGTTACATTAGTTCAGGTGTACCAGGTAGTGATTAAGTTTCTCTGTACATTATGCTTTGTCACAAGTACAGCCAGCCACCATCTGTCACCATACAATGTTATTACAGTATCATTGACCATATTCCTTATGCTGTGCCTTTTATTCCTGTGACTTACTCCATAACTGGAAACCTGTATCTCCCACTCTCCTTCCTGTGTGACCCACCCTCCCACCCCTTCCCTCTGGCAAACATCTGTTTGTTCTCTGTATTTAATGGTCTGATTCTGTTTTTTGTTTGTTTATTCATTTGTTTTGTTTTGCTTTAAATAGTATTAACTTGAAATAGCTTTAAATTATTGAGCCACAGTCCTAACAGACTTTATTTAATAATTAAAAATAAATACTTGGTACAGATAAAATGACAATGAAAAACTGTACAATAATTGCTATGTTAGGACAAATGTATACAAATGGGGGTTTTTCAAAAATAATGTGTAAGATAAATGCTAGGTTTTCAGTCAATTTCATCATTAGCTGGAAGAGCACACATGTCTGCCTAATAAAAAGACTACATTTACTGTTCTGTATGCTAAGTTAACCAGTGGAAGGGATGAGCATTATAAAGTCACAGGACAAGACAATCTAAAGTCAAAGAAGCATCTTCACAAGCAAAAATAGAGTTCTTCTAAGTCTATAATAATTCAGAAGGGCTTCTCATAATCTGCATTTGCCCACAGAAATAGACAGAAAGGTCTTTGAGCAGCTTATTGAATACTTGGAGCACATGTCCTTAAAAAGTTGCCAAAAGAGAAATTCATTCAATGTACATTTATTGAGCACCTACTATGTACCAGGCACTAGTAACACAGATGAAGAGTACATTGGTAAAGCTTAAATTCAGATTGGCCTTAAAAAATGCTTTCTGATGAATCACTCAATTCTATCTGTGAAACTAATAATACACTATATGTTAATCAATTGATTTTAAATTTAAAAAAAAAAGTGCTTTCTACCTGGCCCCTGGGACCACCTATGTCTTCTGAAGAAGTCTGCATGTTAGAGAAGGGAGACATTCCACCTTAAAAAAAAAAAAAAAAAAAAAAAGCAGAGGTTATAGTGATTAAAAAAAAAAATCTAACATCTGTGAGATCTAATGGAATAGCAGGGAAAGGACTGGATAAGGAGTGGGAAAACTAGTTCTGCTATTACTTATCTGTGTGACCTCAAACAGATTTCACCTCCCTGGCCCTCACTCTTCATAAGTAAAATGGTAATTGGGCTACCATCAGAATATTGGAACCGAGATCATCTAATCCTATGTTTTCCACAGTCCTGAGTTCAAATGAAAATATGTAGAAGGCCCAGTGTAACAGTGATGACAGCAGAGTTGCTTTGAAGAAGGCAGCACCCAGAACCTCCCCCAGCCCTGGAGGGGATTCACAGAACAACATTTGAAAACCACTCACCTAGTCCAAATCCTCACTTTTCAGATAAGAAAACCAAGACACAGAATAGGAGCGATTGGTTTGGTGTGCACATTTGGCTTCCTAAATAGAAAGGAGGGTGGAGGGCTAAAGAAAACAGTGTATGAAATTCATAAAAAAAGCAAATTGTCAAGAAGGAAGTTTTCTATTTTAATTCTTTCAAAGTAGTTCCTTTATGAAAGGGAGCTTTGAAATTGGTTTTGTTTAAGGCAGCCAGCCAGCCAGAGGCTGAAATGAACAACTACCAACCAGCCTGCAGGGTCTATAGAGGATTTTGGCAGAAAACCACACAGACCTCATGTCAGTAGGCACTGGACCTTGGAAGATCCTGGCCCCAACAGTGCAAGCACTAGCGGTTTCAAGAGAAATATTTGGAAAATTTGGAATGAGTACAGACAAGTGTCCAGCTCCCAGATCCCCAAGGAGGAGTCACCATCTATTACTCAGAAATACTAACAAGTGGGCATGTTAGATCTTAAAGTGAACAGTGCAACCAAAATCACTGGTCTGAAAGTTCTTTAGAGGCCTCCTCTCCGTGGAGAGTGGTCCTAGTTTGGTATGTTGACCACTGTTAATCGCAGCAGACTTGAAATTAAACCAAAAAGTTAAGATGCATGTCCACTGCTGGACCTAGTAGGTCAGAGCTGTGATCTCTTCTGATTTCATGGCATCAGACAGGAAGCTGAGCTCATTGCATAGGGTCTCATATCGGAACGCCATCCGGATCTGAGCAACATTTGTCTTTCGAATATCATTTCCTTCAGGTCCTTCTTTATAATAATTTTGTCCCAGAAACTTTTGCTTCTCCTGTGGAACCAGAAAAGTACAAATGAAACCATAAACCTTAGGTTTGATTTCTATAACCACATGGCAGCTTTGACATTGGCCACGCCAAATGAAACCAGTACCCCTGAAGCTGATCCTCCGCCAGGACATGGTTCCTGATGGGGTTCTTAAAAATTCTCCCGGCCTCTGTGTCCTCAAGGATGTCACCCTGACACCCACATTCATTCCCTTCATTTCTGAATGTGCTTTCCTTGATCAGGAGACAATAATAAGACCCTCTCCCCAGTGCTGCTGGCAATTAAGAAGGGAAGATGAAGGCATGAAGACTCAGTCCCTCCTGAGAGCCGACGGGGCCAAACAGGTGTTTCTGGGGAGGCCCGGTCTTAGGAAGCAGGTCTGCACAATTGAATTTTGAACCGTTAGCTCTGCTCTGCATCAGCATCCGATAAGAGCGGCACCAAAGCAGCTTCTTCCTGTACCAGTGATGTCACGCAGGGAAGGGCCCCGGGAGCCTAAGACACCATGTTCTCAAACCTGGCTCCCTATCAGATCCCCTTGGGAGCTGTAAAAATACTGATGTCCAGGTTCCATCCCTACAACTTTTTATTCAATCTAGGTACTACTATTCACTATCCAAGAAAGACCGAGTGTCTTCTGTGTGCACTATGTGCCTATTCTTGGCCCTAGGGATATAATGCTGAACAAAACAGTCCAATGGAACTACTGTAATGGAACTCACCTTCTGGAAGGAAAGACAAAACACGTAACTACATATTACGATGTCAGTAGTAATAAATGTTGAAGGAAACCAGATCAAAGGGATAGAGACTAATGGCAAGTATGGGGCTACTGTAGAACGGTGGTCGGGGAGGGCCTCTCAGAGGAGGTCACATTTGAGGAGAGTCTGAAAGGGTCAAAGAGCTTCCCTGAAAATTCAGAAGTCTCCCTAGGTTTCTCTAGGACATGAGTTTCAGTGTGACAGACAAACTGCTTGTTGTCTTCACGGATCTCAGCGCCTAGAAAGTGCCAGGCCTGCCACGGGTGCCCACCATATGTGTGTTGGACAGGAGGGACGGAGGACAGCACCGTCAACCGCCCATACCTGATGCGACAGTCCGCTCTGCAGCACGCTGTTCCTGGCGATTTCACACAGGTCACACGTGCTCAGCTTCCACACTTGAGCTGCAATCGCATATTCTTCCATAAGGGCTTCCTAGATCCCCCCGAAAGGAAATGTATTAGACAGTAGGATATCCCCTTTCAATCCTTCACACATCTCCAAAGCTAGAAACATCAGACAGACATTGCAGCTTTACTTTTTCTTTAAAGTCTGGCACCTGGATAACCGAACAACATTCCCACCCCACCACCCCCTTAAATGATGAACTCCTAAGAGCATTTTTGGCAGATTCGCAGGTTTCCCAAGAGAGATGTCTTAGAGAACGCCTCCACGTGGATTTGTTGACCGGCACATGCTTAAAGCCCTGTGGCAGACATAGGGATGCCTGCCTCTGCTCTCCTGCGACAGTCTCCCTGGTCACGCACATGTTAAGTATGTGCTCTGTAGCCTTGCTTTTTCACATCACTTTCTGAAGATTGTCCAAAAATCAAAGTTAATCTGAATAAAGTATGACAAGCAGAGAATGAGAAATGATCAGGCGGTGAGACAGTAATCCAAGGGGATTTAGGTTTGAGTTGTGCTTTCACTTTATCCCCTAGGATTTGAGATGTCTGCCATTGGTCACAAGTTCTTGGACACCCCACTGCCTCTGTAACCGAGAGCAGCGGTTCTCAAAGTGAGATCCAGGGTCCCCGAGGCCTTTTGAAAGGGCATCCCTCTTCCAACCATTATCTTTGTGAGGCAAGATTTTCATTATATGCTTTGATAAAAACAAGGCATCATAACAGATTGAATGCAGATGCAGATACGAGAATCCTGCTGTCTTCTACTATGCCAGACATTAAGGAGGGTTGCAAAAATGTGAAACAATGCCATTCCCAATGCCATTTTGTTTGTTTGTTTGTTTGTTTTGGGAAAATGTGACTAATTTTCGTAAAAATTGCTCTTTATGTTACCATGTAACAGAGTTATTAAAGCTATTTTTAAATGAGTTAATATTTTTCAATTTCGCATTAGTTTCTATAATACACTTAAAAATCACTAGATATAACTTATGTAATCAACAGCTTTCTGAAGGTCTTTAAGGTCTTAAGAGTATAAAGGGGTCCTGAGCCCCAAAGCTTGGAGAGCCTGTCTTAGAAGACTCAGGCACTTCTATTTTCACTAGTCAATGGCTGGTCCCCAGGCATGGCCTCATCTCTCCCTTCCTCTTCCCTTGCCCTGCAGATCCCAAGTATTCTAATAATAATAGTGTTAACCAAATGTTAGCTTTTGTAGTATGTACTATATTCAGACACTCTATTAAATAGACTATGGTTCATTATCTTATGAATCCTCACAATAAAACAGAGGTAGACATAGAGACAATTGCATCCCTGTTCTACAGGTGAAGAAGAATAAGATAGAGATCAAGTAACTTAACCAAGATCACAGAGATAGTAAATGCTAAAGAAAGGGAAAATTGAGAGGGCAAAAAATTAAACTGTGCCTTCAAGGGTCCAAGAACTCCAAAGACAGGGCTCCTGGAAGGAACACTTTTCGCTCACCAGGAGCTTACCTCTTGCCTTCACTGGGCACCAAGCCCCACCCCAAAAGCAGAACTGAGTTTGCGCTCCAGGGCCAGCAGTGTGGGGGACGGGCCAGGACTGGGGCCTGCTGGGGCGCCTGACATCCTCACCTTTGTGTAGTGGAACTGCATGGGGTCGTCGGTGGAGAGAGAAACATGCAGTCCCTTGTGCAGGAATTCCCTCAGAGGGTTTTTGGAATATTCAAGAAACAGACTGTTGTTGCTAAGAGGAGACATGGCAATGGGGATCTGAGCAAGGTAGTAGAGATACTGCAACACCGGACTCTGCAAAAGAACCACCAAACTCTGATGAGTGCCAGAGAGGGGAGGGAGGAAGGGCAGGCAGGAGCCTCAGGGTCTGGGTGGTGTCTGTGCAATTCCCTCACCAAGCCCAGAGTTCCCCAAAGGCGGGGCACCCAGACCCCACCCACCCCGCCCTCCCTGCAAGTTCTTCTCACTCCCCTCTCTTCCTGGGCTGCTCTCTGCCCCATCTTGGCTCCCAACAAGACCCAGCTCAGGGCAGGAAGGCAGCTGAAAGGCCCCAGGCTGCCCCCAGGCCACCCACACTCTGCTCCCCCTCCCCCAGGCACTTCCCCCCGTGGGTCGGCCTGAGAGATCCCCACTTTGGTGGTTCTGCTGCTTTGACCATAAACATACAGGCTGAGTCTGTAAATACTCCAGCTCCTCAGAGATGGGAAGGGGCAGGCCTGACCAGGCTAGAGTGGTTTTCTGATGTACTACCTGCCCCTCACGGAATTGGGACACCCCCCGCCCCAGGATCAGGGCACAAGAAGAGTCTGAGCAAACATCCTTCTTATGGAAGTGATCCAAACTATGGAGAAGACCAAATAGGCAGAGTTCATAGCTGCATTATTTACACAAGTGGAAAATTGGATGGACCCTGTCCAACAACTGGAGACTAGTTGAATCAATTATAAACTGTCCAAGCTGTGGGCCATCCTTCTAACTGCCTTTAGAATGAACATAAGTACTATGTTGCAGCACAGAAAAATGCTTATTCAAAGAGCAGAAACAAACAAAAAACCTGTGCTCATAATAACAAGCATGTTAGAAATACACTTTTGGGGGGCGCCTGGGTGGCTCAGTGGGTTAAGCCTCAGCCTTCAGCTCAGGTCACAATCTCGGTCCTGGGATCGAGCCCTGCATCGGGCTCAATGCCCAGCGGGGAGCCTGCTTCCCCCTCTCTGCCTGCCTCTCTGCCTACTTGTGATACTTGTGATCCCTGTCAAATAAATAAATAAAATCTTTAAAAAAAAAAAAAAAGAACTGCTTTAATAAAAAAAAAAAAGAAAGAAAGAAAAGAAATATGCTTTGGTAAAAAAGATGAGAATTCTAAAATACCAAAAAGCTAATAATGGCTATTTCTTTTGAAGTAATAGCAATAAGGATTTTTTTCCCATTTCTCCATCTTTTGGAAAATCCAAATTGCAATGTGTTTGATTATATTCCTTTCATAATTAAATATGAAACCAAGATGACAATGGACAGCCCGACCCAGAAAAAAGCCCCAGCCTTTTAACGTCACTGGCCAGAGCCTCTCAGGGGCAGATAGGAGCCCAGGTGATCCCACTCCCCCAGGGAAGGCCAGAGCAGGACCAGCCTTGCAGGGTAGGCTTCCGTGAGTCGCCTGGTTACCTTCTTGAGGAGCAGCCCATGGGAAATGTTGTCAGCGGTCAGGAAAGCAGACACCAGGTGGGTGATGGAGCCAGCCTCCCCACAGTGAGGCCGGAACAGGAAAGTGCTCAGGCCCCGTTCCCTGCAGAAGTGAGGCTCTTGGTCAGCAAGGACCCCTGCTTCACCCTACTAGGGGCCCCACAGGCCTGGGGCCTGTACCCCTAGCTCAGGGCCTGCTCCAGGGGGAGAGACTTGCCCATGGCAGAGTCAACACAGCTATCACGGACACTCTGGAAACTACCTCTCCCAAAATATAGAGTGCCAGGTCCAGGGATCTTCAGAACCAGAGGATGCCACCTCCCCCCCCCCCCCCCGCCCCTGGGGAACAGATAAGGGACGGAATGGTGGAAAGAGACCCTGCTCTGTCCCCGTTCATTCCTCACCTTCTGCTCTTCACCAGGCCTTGGAGCCCAGGCTCTCACAGACCTTCAGAGCAGCAACGGCCATGAGAAACCGTCAAGTTCAACTTCTTGGTCATAAAACTGGTTAAACCCAGAGGGTGGAGTCAGGCATTAACAACCCCTGGGCAGGTCAGCAGCAGAGCTAGAACTCAAGCCCCTACCTCCAGAAGCTCAGTCTGGACTGCCCCTCCCCAACACCGGGCCATCTCCTTTCAATCCCAGTCCATCCAGAACCTTCTTACCCACAGACTACACTGGGTTAGCCTGAGCCAGCGAGGCCCCATGGCCCAGCAGAGGGCAGGAGGGAGGCTAGACTTGCAAGGGGGGAATGAACAGGTCTGTGTGGGCTGCCCCGGGCTCCCGACTCCTGCCAGAGTCGCCCCGTGTGTGTGTGTGTGTGTGTGTGTGTGTGTGTGTGTGTGTGCGCACTGGTGGGAGACTGTGCAGGTGAGGCCACTGGCCGGGAGCTCCATGTGGGCTTGGGTTTAGTCCGTGTTGTTCCCTATTTCATGTCCTGTGCCCGGGACAGCACCTGTCACATAGAAGGTACACACTTGTTACACACATCGTGCATGAACACCGCTGGTATCGCAGAAAGAACTTGGGCAAGTGTTGGCATGTCCCGTGTCTGTGTCAGGCCAGAGACAGACAGGTACACACAGGAGCTGGGGAGCACGCGGATGCACCCGTGTGTACAGGCATAGCTTGGCCGCACTGTGTACAATCGTGTCCGCAGTCCCATGTCGTGTGCCGGGCGCGTCACGGGGTGTGAGGCGAGGGGCGCGCGGGCGTGCGCGGGGCCAGGCCCACCCACCTGCGGAGGTTGTTGAGCACCATGATGTTGGCGTACATGTAGTACAGGTAGTAGCTGTACGGCGGGTTCTGCTCACTGGTCCAGACGTCCGGGCTGGGGCTCTTCTCTGAGAACATGTGGTCACTGTGCTTGGACTCGTCGTCCACGCTGTCAAACCCTGTCACCTGGGCGGGAGGAGCAGTCCTGTCTCAAGCTGAGGCTGATGAGCTGACAGAGGCCTTGAAATCCTGGCGTCCCAGGCTCATACCTCAGCTGGGGACTGTGCAGCCTGAGGCCATGTCCATCCCAGGACAGGGAGTGAGCACAAGCCCACAGTCCGTCCCTCCATGGCTTCTGAATGTACCCAGGAGGCCAGCCTGGAGACTGCCAAGCCCTGGTGTGGTCGTGGTGATGGCAAGGGAAAACTCGGGCTGCACCAAGTGACCAGTGGAAGCCATACCCACCACCCACCTCTCTGCTGTGCCAAGGAGGAGCACCGCAGGGTAGCTAGCAGAAACAGCCATCAGCAGCAGTGACAGTGGCTATGAGGGGAATGGGACCGGTGTTTCCCATCAGCCTACTATATGCCAGGCCCTAAGTACTTACCACACAATAGCTAAGGTAACCCTCAGAGCCACCCTGTGAGGGAGGTCTTGCCTGTGAACAAACCAGGCCCATCATGCTCAGGGAGCTTGCCCTCGCAAGACAACTAGGCTCTGAGCCTAAATGGGCTCCAGGTCTAGACTCTGGGGCTGTAAGTCGAGGACACCCCTGCGATGCACATTTGGGGCCACAGGAAACCAGCCTAGATGCCTCACAAACAAGTCAAGGTGGGTCCCACCCAAGAGGGCCCTGTGGAAAGCTGAGCTGTGATCCCCAGGAGGGAAGTGCTCTGCCCTCTGTCCTTCCACAGCAGCTGCTCCTCAGCTGGGGCCCAAACTTTGCCTTTAGTCACTGGCTTCCTGGTCACCTGGTCCCAGACCTTGACCAAAGTGAACCCATAGAAGATGTAGCTTCTCAGCCACAGCGGCACTTTGAAGGGGCTTCTGGAAGACTGTCCACCTTGTTCCACAGCTGGCCTAAACTGGGGAGCCCCAGCCAGGTCTGCCAGTCCCTCCCATTCCTATATGGGCAGTAGGTGCCTCGAGGAACAAGGGACCTATGAGGGCCTTGGCAGAGACTTCTTTGTCATAGAAACACATGTCAAAGGCAGTAAGAGGACTGCCACCACAGCTCCCAGCATGGCCTGGATGGGGCTGGGGGCCAGGGAGGCCGGGGAGGCCGGGGATCCCCGCCCTGCCCTCACTAGCCCCATGCCCTATCCGGACTCTCCAGGACCTGGCATGGAGGTAACATCAGCCCCTCTCCCGAGCTCTGTATCCCACAGATGCAGTGCCCCCAAGCACAAGATATGTCCAACCCCCAACTCCTGCTCCACGAGCCTGCTCTTCCCCCACTTGTGGTAGTGACCCCCAAAGGCACCCTGGACTCTTCCCCCAGCCCACCTTCAGGCTTTGCCCAGGCCCTGTCAATACTACAGTGATGCCCACCTCGTGCCCAGAGGCCCCAGCCTGCCATCCGCCTTTGCCTCACTTTTCCTACTTGGGAGGCCCTGCAGCACATGGACGATACCCCTGCTCGGGATCAGACACCCGCCTGCGAATGCCCGCTCGGCCAGCTCCTAGCTTCCTGTCTTTTCCTCCTGTGTGAACAGGCACTAGTAGCTTCACAGGACTGCTGTGCGAATTGAATGAGACAGTCCATGGAGAGTGCTTAACAGTGCTTAACACACAGCAAGCACGTGAGGATTCCGCTTAGCACTAACACCAACAAAATGATGTGACATAAGGTTGTCCTGAGACTGAAGTGAGATCGTGTTGTAGCAAGGACCCCGGGAGCAGGCACCAAACCCTCAACAACCATGAGCTGTTATCGCGGCAGGAAGCCCCCAGCATCTCTCTCCACTGTTGGAGTGGGGCCCCTGACTCTGTTCTTGCCCCTTTCCACCCATCACCAGCCAGCTTCTGTTCCAGGCCTTTCTCCACACAACAGCCAGAATGATGTTTGTCTAAAACATAAATTCAGTGATGTCCCCCGGCCTGTTTAAACCATTCCTGGCAGACTCAACACAAACACAGACTCAACAGCCCTCCCCCATCCACTTAGCTCTCTGGAATCTTCTCTCCTTCTTCCCCGTCAGATGCCCAAAACCTCCATGGCATTCTGGGCTCACTTCTCACTATGACAGCCACCTCCACTCTGGGAACCCAGAGGGAGGGATCAGCTCCTGCTCCACTCATACCTTTTCTGGGTATCCTCTCCATTCCTTCTTTCCCTCTCCCGTAACTAGTCAGAAAAACATATGTTGTCGGGCACCTGTACTCAACCAAACAAGACGGGAGAACCATTATTTCAAGGTAAAAGCAGGAGCATTGAAATGCCTGCATTTCTAAAGACCTGGGGCAGCTGCTGGGTGCTTCGGGGGACAGGAACCAGTCTTTCCAGCCCCACCGGGCCAGGAACTGACTCCACCCCAGTCTTTCCCTACTGCTGTCTCCCTGACACCCCACCCACACCCCAGGGCTGGCCCTGACGAGAAGGGGACTTCCGCTACCTGGAGCAAACTCATTATTTTAGAAATTCAGTTTCTTGCCCATTCCAGAGCACACGAGATAGAGGATCTGAGAAGGGAAGCCTGACCCAGCCTCCCTTGGAATCCTCTCTCCCATCCATCACTGTGCACATCGCCTGCAGCACCACCCACACTTACATATTTGAGGAAAAGATGAAGCTCTTGGTGATCTTGGGGGTTGATTGTGGCCTCAAAGAGGGGAAGGAAGATGTTCTCCAGCATCTTCCCAAAGCTTGGCAGCAGCTTCTTTGCCCTAAATATGTCACTGGGGGAAAACAGAGACTTGCTAATTAAAGTGAACCCCTTGGCCTGTGGGAGGACAGCCCCATCCTTTTCTCAAGCAGCTTGTGTTCCCATATAAACACCCAGAGCAGAGCCAGAGATGCAGCTTGAACACAGGTCCTTCCTCTCCTCTCTAGCTCCCAGCAAGGTCTGCAACACTAGGCACTGGTTTGAAGCTCAGCATCCACCCCTGCCCACCTGAGAGCTTTCCCAGGCTACAGGCCATGCTGGGAGTGGGGTCTGGGGACTCAGGCTGACCCAATGTCTAAGAGATGAGTTCACCAATTTATCAGTATCCAGACTCTCTGCCCCTCAGCTCACTTCCCCTACACTGCATATCCCAGCCCACTGAGGGACCATGAGCCCCATACCAGCCAGATGGGAGAAGCCAGTGGTCGTCTGAATCATAGCCATGGAGAGAGCCAGCAGTGTAGACTACCACTAAGTTGCTCACACCCAGGGGCTCAGGCAAAAGGATCACCCACCCTCAAACCCCAGTGAGAAGATGGGTAGTGGTTCCTACTAGGCCTTGCACAGGCTTGTTTGTCAACAAACAAGGGTTGAAGTGACACAAGGAGCTTTGCCAACTACCCCTTGCTATGGGACAATGTCTAGGGAGGAGAGGCCCAAGCCGGTACCAGACCGGCCCCACCAGAATAGTGCAGACCCAGCGCATGAGCGATGGGCTGTGTCCCCAGAGGGCACAGCAGACAGCAAGCCGCCTCACTTACTAGATCCGGGGCACCTGGATGATCCAGCGCATGTTGGGCGAGTAGACCTTGTGCTGGATGAACCAGCGGGCCAGGCTGGGCCATTCCTCCGGACTGCGGCCGTAGATGGAAAGCCGTGGCTCTGAGTACTGGTACTTGCTCTCCTCGAGCTCCCTGGCCACCTCCTAGCACCAAGAAGAGCTCGGGTCAGCCCAAGAGCATGCCAGCTGCTGAATCCAGCAGCTTCCTCTGTCGCCAGCTCCCAGGCTGGGGAGACCTGATCTGCACCCCCTAGCTGCCATGTAACTGCTCCTCCACCCCAGGAGAGGCTCCTTCTTGGGGGAGGGAAGGCCTTTGCACAGTGCTGTGCATAACCAGGCCAGGCAGCAGAAGCATCTCCAGATGCCCCCAGCCAAAGTCAGGCTGCAGACAGGGCGGTAAGCCCGGACACCGTGAGCACCAGGATACCCTGCCCTCCTGCAGCCTGAGGTGGGCCCCTGCAGCACCAGCCCGCCCGTGCTCAGGAGCTGGTAGCCAGGGCACCCTCGGCACCTGGGCCTTGCCTGCGCTGGATGGTGGACCCGCAGGGATTCGGGGAGGGGTAAACAGGAGGCCTGCAGAGCCCCCACCCTCCGCAGGCAGGTGCTGTCAGCATCTTGGGTCAGGGGGGAGGCTTGAAGAGGCCCAGGGCTCACTCGCCTTGACCATCCGAGCGAAGTACTCTCCGCCCAGGTAGTTCTCAGTTTTCAAATAGAGGTCGCGCAGTTCACTGGCCCCCACAGGGTTGTATTTGGAGTTGAACTTGTCAAAGCGATGGAAGGTCTGCCGACCCTGGAGAGAGGAAACCACCAGGCAGGTCGCCATATTGTTCATATTCACCCGCGTCTCCCCCTCCAGGCCTTCAAGAGGTGGCCTTATGTGTGGCCACACTGACCAATGTCTTCTTTGTCCGTTCTTGCATGAGCCCGTGGGAAGTCCCGGAGCCAGGCCGTGTGTCCTCACTCAGCCAGCCTGGGGGTCCTCTAGTGGGGCCCTCTGTGGGGACCAAGGGACCTCATGCTCCAAGGCACCATGGCTAGGAGCCCAGCTGGCTGAGTGAGCAGAAAACACCAGACTACTTAACAGTCAGTATCACAGTGTGTCTGTTACTGCTTGGATGTCGTAAGGCACCTTCTCCACATCACCACATTCCGTGTTTTTTTGTTTGTTTGTTTAACAAAGACTTTTTTATTGTGGTAAAATATACCTAACGCAAAATTATCATCTTAACCATTTTTAAGTGTACAGTTCAATGGTATTAAATGCATTCATTACATCGCACAACCATCACCACCCTGCATCTCCAGAACTCTCTATCTCGTAAAACTGAAACCCTGTGCCCATTAAACGATGACTGCCCATGACTCCTTCCTCCTGCCCCTGGTAACCACCACTCTCCTTTCTGTCTCCATGAATTTGCCTACTCTGCGTGCCTCGTACAGGTGAATCGTACATTAACTGCCCTCTTCTGTCTGCCTTTTTTGACTTAGCGTCATGTTTTCAAGGTTCATCCATATCAGAGTATCAGTACTTTATTCCTTTTCAGGGCTGAATCATATTCCATTGTAAGCATTTACCACATCTTGTTTGCCCTTTCACCTACTGATGAACACTGGGGTTGTTTCCCCCTTTCAGCCATTGGAGACAATGCTGCTGTCCACCTGGGTGTGCACGTATGTGTGTCCGTCCCTGCTTTCAGTTCTTCGGGGTATATTCCTGGGAATGGAATTGCTGCAATACATGGCAATTCTGTATTTAACTTTTTCCTAGGAAACTCCATACTGTCTTCTGCACCATCATTTAGTCTTTTAATAACCGTCCCGTCAACAAGGCACATGGCATTCCCCATTTTATAAGCAAGGCAATAAAAGCGTAAGTGAATTGCTTAAGGGCCTATAACTCCCAGCTGGCAGAAGGGGAGTTAGAACTGGGACCTGTCTGACTCCAGGTCGCATACCCTTTTCCCCTGTCCCATGGCCCTGTGATTCCCTGAGGCCAAATTCCCTTTCACCTCTCCATGCCTGGAAGCCACAGAGCTGCAGCGTCTCCCAGGTACAGCCACTGGGCCACTTTCCTGGGGACGGGGCACCCACCCAGGATGGTGGGAGGCTCACTCACCGCATGGACGTCCAGGGAGTCCACGGTGAGGTCGTACGGGTCCATGTGCAGGCTGTCGAACACCTGCCGCAGGGTGATCTTGCGGCCCCGCTTCTCGGCCACGGTCCGGTCGGGCTCGGTCTGGTACGTGTGCTTGATGAAACGTAGCAGGTGCTTCTGGTTCATGCAGGCCGCCGCGTGGATGTGCGTGTCCACCTGCAGCACAGCGCCACCAGCCGTGAGCCAGCCCCACCCCCACGCCTGCTGGCAAGGAGATGGGGAGTCCCAGCCTCAAAGTGGTGTGCGAAACCTCAGCACCCATAGTCCCGCCGATACCTGGACCTGCACCCCTCCCCCCAGAGTCTCCTCTAGACTTTGAAACTGGTCCTCCCTCTAGCTTTGCCGCCCTCTCGACCTCGTTATGGCAGCCAGAGATCTTTCTAAAATGTAGATGGGATCTGGCCACTCCCCTGCTAACGAGTCATCAGTGGCCCCCAAGTCTTCAAGAGAAAGACCAAATGCCTTCGCCTGGGGTTCAAGGCTGACTTCCAACCTTAATTCCCTCCTTCCTGCTGCCCAGCCTGTGCTCCCGCCATGACCCAGCACTAACAGGGGCCCGAGGCACTGTGCTACTCTGCACTGTGTCACTTGGCCCACGTGTCTCCTCTTCTGGGCAGGTCTTCTAGCCCCTCACCAGTCTCATCCACCTACGCGGGATCCCTTACAACCTCCTCCACTTGGAAGCCAGTCCTGATCACCCCAGCACACTGACCAGCTGTTCCCCCGCCCAGCCAGGAAAGCTAGCACACACGCTCCCATTACTGTACATGTCTTCCCAATTCAGTCTACAGACTAGTAGACTCTGCCACTAGACCAGGAGCACAGGCCTCAAAGCACAGGGGCTTCAGCTGTTGCGTCTAAGTCTCCAACGCCTATACCAGAGCCTAGTATGACTTATTTGTTGAATCAATGGATGGACAAATGAACAAATGATGATATCTACATCCTCATGTAACCCCAAGGGCCCGCCAAATGCCCCACAAAATGCCATTCTTCCCATTGACCCCTCTTGGAACAGTCCCTTCAGCAGGCAGCCCGGATGCAGTGGTGCCCTGGCCAGGCTGAGGGATGACCTAAGGTCGAAGTGCGCATCCTGACTCCCCTGGCCTGAGCCCAGGGGGCCCCAGAGAGGTCCCCAGGGAGATGGCAACAGCCTCCCAGGCCAGGACTGTGCTATTCCTTCCTGCTGCAGCCAACTGGGCACTCTACCAGGGCTGGGATAGGCAGGCGGCTGACCTGTGGCCAGAGAATGTGGTCCTCAGCTGGCCAGCATCTCCAAGTCATGCCAAGCTGGACATTTGATCTACTGAATCTCTGTGAACATTATACAAGCCAGCCCATGTCACTGGCCACACCACTGACTCATCGGGGCTCTTCCTGCCATTCATCCGGCCCTCCCAACAAGAGAGACAGACCACTAGCCATTAAAGATATAAAACCGCTCAAAGCACCAAAAGCCAGAACATCACCCAAAGCACCATGTAGGGATCTGGTCACCTCAGGGACAGGTGGGGCTCTTGTGGGATGCCCAAGTAGCCAGCCAGGCTTAGCTCAGCCGGACACAGCTGGACTCAACCACCTCAGCATGACATAGCACATTCTGGGTTTTCTGGTTCCGTCCTCTTGCATACCAGTGACACACTGCAGGGGGTGCAGGCTGTCCTTACCCCCACAGGTCACAAGATGAGGGAGAAAAACAACTGGACAATCCAGAAAGCATCCAATCCAAACTTTAGAAGGTCCAAGGTGATTATTTTAGGAACACGCAAAAGAGCCCGTCATGGGATGTCCGTGTTTTCAATTCACCGGAAGATACCAGTGTGTTCCTGCTTTCACATCGGGTCCAGGCTTTCACAACAGGACAGTTTACAAACAGGGCTGACTGGCCCCCCGTCCCTGAGCCAACACTGGCCATTCCCCCAGCCATGTCAGACATCAGTAACCAAATGCAGCATTTTCACTAAGCTGTGGGAGTAGCCACGGCCGACTGGTCAAGTTAGGCACAGAAGATGAAGCCGGTCTGCTCTGCCTGATATGACACTTAAACCGACGTGAAGAAAGCCCAATCTTACCCAAGTCCTCGGCAGTAAACACACTCGGCCCTGGTTCTTAGCTCTGAGCAAAAAACAAATGTCTCAGTTACACAGTCCCGCCAGCTGGGCCACGTGGTGTCCTAAGCCATGCGGTGTTGTGATGTTTGTGATGCTGTGATGCTACAGACACATTCACAAAGACCAGCCCCACACACCCGTGGCCACTCACAGCCTCTGCCTCCGAGCATGGCCCCAGCCTGCGCTCCCAACACTGACAGCTACCTTGGAAATACGGAGCCACCCTCCCAGCCCACCCTGAGTTTCAGAAAACCGGCTCTCTTCCCACCGAAGAAGCTTCCAGGGCCAGATAAAGCAGCCAGCAACCAGGATGCAGGGAAGGGCAGGCGGAGGCCTGACTTGGAGCAGATCAGGGCCCATGTTTATGGACTGCTGCGGTGCCAGAGAACAGGCCGATGAGTCACAGCACAGGGGTCAAGGTCATCCCTATCCAGAGAACACATTTACCCCCAGACTGACAGGAACACCTAGGGGTAGGTAACCAGGACTCTCTCCTGTATCACAGCCAGAGAGTAGCTAGTGGGCCTAGGAACACCCACGGGGACCCTACCTCAGAAGCAAACAGTGTCTGAGCCAGTGCAGTTAGCAAGGACCCCTTTAGCCCCAGGAAGCGGGAAGCTGCCAGGACCAGAGTGTTCATGCAGAGGGCGGGGTTGCACAGGCCAGGCAAGGAACTTCCCCGGGCACCCACCTGGGCCTGTGGTGCATTTCAGCAGAGCTGAGAGGAGTTGGCATGGTGCCTTGAAGCACCTACCTGTCTGAGTACCTAAGCCTCACAGAGAAGGAGCAAACAGTGCTCAGGGGTGAGAATGCCAGGTGGCTGATTTCTAACACAGCCCCTCACCTCTACCTGGAACGCCTGAGACATTTCCATAAGCCTCACAGCCCATGAGCTGAAGCCACCTCACCCTCTTAAGGTCCCTTCCAAGTGGGAGTCCATGCCAGACCCCATGATGCTTAACAGAAGTGACCCTGGGGCCTCCCTTGGGGAGGCGGTCTGTTCATTACTGCTGAGTGTTCTCAATCAGGTCAGGGAGGCCTGGGTTCCACAGATGAGCCATATCCTCCCCTAACACCCCCTTCTCAAAGCTGACCCCGGGGAGGGGCAGTCATCAAAGGGTCACATCTGCAACAGAGGCCCCTCTAGAGATGAGGAGCCCACTGTGAGTCAGCTCAGGTTGGGCCACGAGGCAAAGCCTAATCCCTACCCTTCACCCTGAGCTTCTTCCCAGAGTATGACCATGGCACCTCCCTGCTTCCTCTGAGAAACCCAGGGGCCCCCACATGGTCCAGAACCTCACATACCTCTCACCTCACTCTCCCCACAGCCCAGCACCACACTGTCGCTCACACCTGAGCTCCTGTCACACCACTGGACATAGTCTGTCCTCTCCCATGGCACAGCACTCTCTCCCTCTTGGTCTTCGGCTGTGCCCTCTGCCTGGAACACCATCCCTTCCATTCCCTTGCCCTCCGCCCCTGCCCAGGCTGAGTCTTATGCACTCTTCAAGTCGGCTCAGTTCTAGGCTCTTCCTGGAAGCCACTCCCACCACAACACTTCACACTGACAGGACTGGGCTAGGAACTTCTCAGGAACAGGCAGTGACTCCCGTTCAACATCAAACACCCCAGGCTTAGCAGTGATATTAGTTAAGTGGAAGAAAATGGAAAAGCTGGAGGCCAGGACTATTTAACACACACACCTGAGCCCAGGCTACGGCTCACGTACCCTAGGGGAGGGGCAAGACAGGAGCACACGGGATCCTTCCCTACTCCTGATCCAGAAGGAAGCAAACCACAAGTTCCCAAGTCCAAAGAGATTTTAACAGCCTTTTCTCTCCATGATGAATACATCCTCCACCTTAAAAGGAGCCTGGCCTCAAGTCTTAGGAGCAATTAACAGACTGTACCGTATTTTCCAAGTCACAGGGTACCACTGCAACAGATACAGAACACGGACAAAAGTTCCCACCTAGAGTCACACCAAGTACAGTCTGAGGCATGGCCCGACAGCAGGCAGGCAACCCGCCAGTCTTCCTTGCACACATGTCACACTCCTCTGGCCAAGGAAGGCCACATAGGGGACCAGCCCCAGACTGACTCAGGGCATCCCACTGGGTTGGGAGGGGACCCGGGAGGGGTGGCTCTCAGTAGTGGGCTACTGACGCACCTTTCTCACGTTATAGAAGTCTCGGTGTGGGTTACTCTTCAACTCTTTGAACTCAGACATTTCATTTAACATCTCGTGCAGGCTGAACTTGGATTCCAGAAAGTTCAGTCGCCGGTGACAGTACGTTTTCCTGCAGGTGGGGAAGGGGGAGAAATCACAGCTGAGAAGTCGCACGGAGCTCTTCAGTTCGGAGACCGCCGGTGGCTGTGGGGACAGGCCCTCAGGTGGAAGGTCAGGGGGCAGTAGGGAGGGTTATGGCCATTCCAGCTTTCGGCAGACCCAGCTGGACTGTGCCCTGTGACAGGAGTGGACGGTCCATTCGGGGCATCGCAAAGCTGACCCTGAGATCTCGTGCAGGTTCTCTGACTTCCAGCTTCGGCAATTTATCCCAAACCTCTGTTTCCCATGAACACATATGGAAATGGCAGTACCCAAGACTGAGCAGAGAGGATGCTCGATAAAGGTCTCCCTCCTTATCCCTTCCTTCCTTCTGTCTTCCTGCCAATCCTCAGCCAACTTTAAGTCCTTAAAAGGAATTCCACCTCTGCCCAGAATCTCAGTAATACAGCCAAACTGTATTGTCCCACCTTGGCATGGGGAGGAAGCATCCTGTGACGTAATGACCTTCCCCAAACCCTGAGACCTGAAGACCCTTCAACTCTGAGGTGACAGGACAAGCGGAGGAGGTGTTTGTATCCTGAGCAGATGAGGAACGTAGAGATGTTTGTTACTAGGATGGAAACCTCTGCAGGGACTAATGCTCCTGCCAGCCAGCAAAGGCCGCCAAAGGTGGGAAGGCTCACCGCTCCTGGCCAGCTCCAGGCCCACACCCAGCCCAGGGACCTGGCCATGTGCCACAGCCACACGGAACCTTCAACCACAAGTCACGCCACCCTCCTTCCTGTGACCCCCAAACAAACAGCAGCTCCCTTGGCATGAAATCACTCGGCCTTTCATAAGGAGCAGCTGCCCACCCTGGAACAGTGTCGTCATGGCGACCGAGCCAAGCCCCAGTGCAGAGCTCAGAGGAAGCAGGAAGAGGCAGTCAGAAGGGATTTCAAAGGCCATCTCACCTAGTCCCTTTCCCTGCTGGACTGGCCTGGACAACCTCCTGGATAGAACAACCCCCCCCCACACACACACACAAACCTCCTAAAATAGCCGGGGTCCTGCCCCTCCTCTCCCTCCCCAGGCTTCCCAGCAAAGCTCCTCCTCACACGGCAGAGGCAAGCCTCCAGAAAACTGTTCTTTCCTTCCTAGTTCTTAGCTCTGCCCTCAGATGAGTGAGGCCTGAGACCCACTCTACCCAACCCCCTGGGACCCACTCTCCTCACTTGGAAACTGGTATCACAGCTTTCCCAGCAAACCCTGAAGGCAGGGCAAGAGAAGTTCCTGGGCGGTGACCGCACCCTTTCCCTGCCCCCTTCCCACTCCTGGCCCAGCACTCAGCCCAGCACTCAGCACAGCCACACCCTGGCTCAGGGGCCAGGCCTGCCAAACCTCATTTACTGATGAGCTGAAGTGCTCACCAAGAAGGGAGGGGCCCAATGTAGGGAGACAACAGCCTGCCAGCTTAGCTCAAGCCGAGCCTGCGAGCATCTTGGGGGTCAAGGCACAAAGCTCCCAGGCTCCCTGCACTCTCCCCTCCAGACACACGGAAAACCCAACAACCAAAGCAACAGTCTTCTCTCCTCCACCATCTATGATGCCCTGGGCTGGATCTTGGCAAGGCTGCTGCCCTGCCTGGGGAGAGGGAGAACTGCCACTGTAAGGTGCACAGGTTGGCCCCGATGAGCAGAAGCTCCAGGATGCAGAAGAGACAGGTCGTACCGACTCTAAGAACACGCCAGCCTGTGATGGAAAACTGTTACAGGAACCCACAAAGCACGGAGGAAAGCGGGTGATTTAAGTGCAGGAAAGCCGGGAGTAAAAGGGGGACCTGATTGGCCTTTGACAGCCCCTTCCTACAAAACAGCCGCCATGCAGAGAGGTGGACTCAGGGAGAGCGGGCTTACGTGGGGCCATCCGTGATGAGAGCCAGGATGTGGCTCATGTCCACGGTGTAGGTCTCCAGGTCGGGGTAGGGCAGGCTGTGGGGCTCCTGGCGCTCCAGCATCTTCTTGTTATCATACACGAAGAGGATGCCCCCCTGCATGCGAACCAGGTAGTCCAAGTTGGCGGGAGCATTGTCCAGACAGTAAGGATCTTCCTGGGGCAGAGGGGGAGGGTGGAAATCTGCAAAACAGGATTGAGTGATGGCAACGTGCCCTTGACCTCATGAGCTCACGTGAGCTCAGAAGTCACCTACTCGGGGAGGACTATCCTCATCATCTCAGCTAAAACCTCGTCACCCCGGCCACCCCTACCTACTCTGACATCACCTGTATCCCTCCCTCCTCTCTATGTCTCTGTGGCATTTGCCACTATGGGCAATAATTTCACTTACTTATCTTGGGACCTATCTGTTTGGCTTGTTTAGTACTGTATCCCCATTTCCTAGAACAGTCCCTGGCACATGGCTGGCAAGTCAGTAAATGTTTTTAATTTAACTGAAATGAGCTTCAGCCTCCTGGGCATGACAGGGACACCAGGCACATTAGAAAGGGCCGCTGTGTCTTGTAATAAAATAACAGGCAGCACCTGGGACTGCCCAGTGGGAATAATTGTCCCTGTCCTCCCACATCTTCCTGAGCCCGGGTCAGCCAAGGGGCTAGATAGAAGGGGGGGTCCCCCTCCTCCCCGGATAAGCACAGAAAGCACAGAATAGGCAGCCCCCCCCCCCCCCCCCCCCGCAGAGCTGGGAATGGCAAGGACAGAGCTCTCAGTCCCCAGGGCTGTTAGCCCACGGGAAGCCGAAAATGCCTCTTGGCCATTTCCCAGCTATGAGACTCAACAAAGCACCTCACCTCTCTGGTCCCGCCCCCCGCTCATCTGAGACTAACACCCCCTGCCTTCAGCAGCTGTTGTGAAGGCTGCAAAAGTGGGTATAAGAGGGGCTTTGTAACAGTAATTCTTGACCCATCAGTTAGACAACATTATTCTCATCACTCTTCTCATGACTTCTCCTGACTCTAGATAAGCTCTGCCTTTGGCCAAGGAACAGAGGTTATGCTAGATGGCAGTAGATCTGGGGGCTCCAACTCTGCACAACAGCCAACCCTCCCTCCACAGGGTCCAGCTGCTCAGCTGCCAGCCCAGGCAGGGGGAAGCCTGGGACTCTTCATCAAAGAAAGCAGCCAAGGCCAAGTGACATGCCTGGGTATCCCCCGGGCACTGCTCGGAACAGACCACCCCAGAGCAGATGTGAGGCATCGCAGGGGCTAAAGCATGTGCCCACATTAGGCACAGCCCCCGGCCAGCTCAGGAGTCCCTAAAGTGTGCCAGGAGTCTGTAGGAAGACACAGCCTCGGCCTCACCAGGCTCATTCCCAGGCCCCCTGGGTACTCTGTTGGCCCTTGCCAAGACTAAGGCAGGCGACATCGACTTGCCTCAGGGAAATGGAACCAGAAGGGCTGAGATTTAACCAGGGTCCCAGGCAGTCACAGATGCTCAACGTCCAGGTCTCAGAGCTTCAAGGAAAACCCAGACCGGAGACCCCTTGGCACCTATTACACCCAGAGGACAGCCAGGGTCCTGAGCACAGGCACAGACCAGCAGGCCCTGGCCTGATCCTCTGGTGCCACCTTTGTAGATGGTGGCTTCTTGTTGTCTTCATTCATCTTACCCAACTTACAGCCTCTACTGCTCCTAGATCCTTCTCAGGCCAGAGTCGCCCAGCAACCACCCTGCCTATCTCTGATCTCTTCTTTCCCCCAATTCTGCAGCATAAATGCAGCTACCATTGACTGAACACTCACTCAGAGTGTTCAGTCATGCCAGTACTGCACTAAGTACTTCACTCTCATTCAACCCTCAGAACAGACCCAGGACAGAGATATTAGTCCCATTTAACAGACTGAGAAACTGAGATTTGGAGAAATACCTTGCCCAAGAAAGTTGTGGAGCTAAGACTAGAATGCAGGTGTGTTCGACTCCAGAGCCTACTTTCCCTGCTCCCAGAACATGCACTCTGCATCTACCCCCCACTCTATCCCACCCCGTCGGCAAATTCAGCATTACTGTCTAATGGTGTTGTTGTAAATATCCAGGATGAGACTGCCTCTCTCTGGGGGACTATCAAGCTCAGGGACTGTCCTTCACCTCTCTCTGAACTTCTATAGCTCAATTCTACCCAGGGCAGAGCACACAGTGCATGCAGATGCAATGCTGGGAGAAACCAGCAAACATGGGTGTAGGAAGCCAAAACCAGGGCCCTCTCCTTAAAACACCATCTGGGCCAAATACATCCAGCCAGTAAGAAGTCCTGACCAACTCTTGAGCTGTGCCCCCCTTAGAACCCCCATGCCCCACACCCACAGTGCCCTACCTGGGAGGCCCTCTTCGGGAGGCACAGTGTCTCCCCGCTGATGACCCAGGTAGCGGGCAGTGGTCCGTGGGAAGCGGTGGTAGGCAAGCCTGGCATACTTCTCCCGTATCATCAAGGCCTTGGCCAGGCTCTTGGCAGCCTGCTCATAGTCCTCCACAGTGATCTGCAGAAGGGGGTGGGCAGAGAAGAGTCCACATAGCAGGACTGAGACCACTGTCCATAGCAAGATCTCCTGCGAAATTGGCTTTCAGCTGACGGCTGAGAACTTGCATTTCAGGGTCATGCCCACCACTCGCTAACTAACAGGAATGGCTCATCCAGCCTCAGTGGTTTGCACAAACACTACGGTTTATGCCAAACACCTGGTTTTCTCTGGGAGTCTGGAAGACAAGGTTATTAACCTTGGGTGCTGAGTCTCTGATGAGCTTCCAGGGTAGACGACACTTCGAACATGTCACAAGTCGATGCTGAAGGAATGAAGTGTGTTCTGCTGACGCCACGGGGAGAGGCGTCTGGGCTCCTCCAGACTCTCCTGTCTGTATCTTTTCCCTGTGCTGACTTCACTCTGCATCCGATCACTGTAATAAATCCTAGTCCTGAGCACCTTTGGGCTGGGTCCGAGGTGTCCTTCTAGTGAATGACTGAGCCCGGGGACCCCCGGCCCAGGTGGAGAATGAGGGCTGCTGGAGACCCAGAAGTGCTCCGGCCTCCAACCCCAAGACTGGCCTCAAATGCAGCTGGTTAAGCCACAGCCCCGTTGATGCACCCTGAGCGTGAAAAGGGCCCGGACCACATCCCTGATGAGGGTGAGGCTCACCACTTTCATCTGCGAAAAACCAGGGGTCCCCCAGAGGTGAAAATAAACACTCTGCAGGCTCAGTCTGCTGCTTTGCCATCCCCTGGCTTCTGCTTCGTCTGTGAATCATCAATTCACCCAGTCCACAAGCATGTATGGCCAAGTGTTGGATTTTGTTTGGGTCCTCACCGCAACCCATCCTACCGAGGGGGAAACTGTGAGCCAGCAAGGATAAATCACTCGCCGGAAGTTACAAAGTCAGACTTCAGATTCTGATCTGACTGGCTCCCAGCACCTAAGCATGGTCTGTCTCCCCGGAGCTGCCTGTTTTTCAATGATGGAAGAGAGAGATATATGCCCACCTTCCAGTGGGCTCCTTCGACCCTGTCTGTCTGGGAAGGAGGTGTGTGGCAGAAACCCAAACATGTCTGGGGAGACAAGCAGCTAAACAGACAGTCATAACAGGACACAAGCGACCCACAGCAGAGGGAGGTCCAAGATGCTGGTGGAGCACAGGGCGGGGGAGAGGGGTTCCTGGAAGTTTCCTCACTGCTTTAATTAAAAATCACTTTTAGTTTGAAAATATTTTAAATACACAGACAAGCACTGAAGAGAATACAACAGACACCCATGTGTCTACCTTCCAGAACTAAAACTTTTAACATTTTTCATGACTGTTCCAGATCTCTTATATATTTGAATAAATAAATCATCACAGATACAGCTAAAACCCTCCCCTCCCCGCTCTTTCACCCCACTCCAGGTTCAGAGGAAGGAAGTTGGTACATAGCTTTCCCATGCATGTTTTTATACTTTCACTCAGTGTTGCTCCTAGCTTTTGCTAAGAAAGTAGCTTTTCCTGGGGTGCCTGGGTGGCTCAGTGGGTTAAGCCTCTGCCTTTGGCGCAGGTCATGATCTCAGAGTCCTGGGATCAAGCCCTGTATCAGGCTCTCTGCTCAGCGGGGAGCCTGCTTCCTGCCCCTCCCCCACCACCTGCCTCTCTTCCTACCTGTCATCTCTATCAAATAAGTAAATAAATAAAATCTTTAAAGAAAAAAAAAAAAGAAAGTAGCTTTTCCTTTCCTATTACCAAGTGTCCCCATGAGGGTGTGTTAATTCCATTTTAGACCTTCCGGTGGATGGCTTTTGAGAGCATCAGGAATAGGTGAATAGACACACACATCTTAGAACCTTAGACAGAAATATGTCCCCGCCGATGACAAAGCCAAACACTTGGCAGAGCCAATGGACTCAACAGGACAAGGGGCTCGGACCATGGCTAAAGTTATCAGAAAGGGTGCTCAGGATCCCAGTGGACCAGCAGCCACCAGCCAGCTCATAGATACCACGAGCCCCATGCCTGGGAGCAGGCCCACTGGGAGTCAAGGTGATCTGCAAGGTCAGCCTATCTCTCATGGCTCATAGCTCTCTGGGGACCAACTGTCCATTTCAGGGGCTCTGTGCCAGGGGACCGATGGAAAGAAGCTAGCTACTGCACCAGGCCAACATCATCCCATTCAGCTGGCTGCCAGCCTGCTTCTATTTCCCCCTTCTCCCATCCTGCCCACATGTCAGAGGCCAGGTCGACACCAAGGACTCCTGGTCAGGAGGCTGCGACTTCAGAGAAGGCCTGCATTGTGATTGTGTCCAATCCAACAAAATTCCCATCCATAGGAACTTCAAGTATGGTATACCCACACAGAGGAATAATAGGCACTTATAAAAAAAAAAAGAAGAAAAAGAAAAGAAAGAAAGAAAGAAAAAAAGAACAAGAACAAGGATGTTCTTTATCTATTGATATGGCATTATCTCCCAGATGTACTGTTAAGTGAAAAAAGCTAGACTCAGTATGATGTGTATAGTAAACTACCATTTATGTAAAGATAAACAAATTATACATGCCCAATTAATTGTAGATACACATAAGAAAACCAAAACCAAGGGTAGCCTCAAACAATAAAATATTTCAGGGGCGCCTGAGTGGCATGGTCAGTTAAGTGTCCAACTCTTGACTTCAGCTCAGGTCATGATCTCAGGGATGTGAGATGGAGTCCCGCATCACGATGGGCTCCACGCTCAGCAGGGAGTCTGCTTGGAACTCTCTCTCCCTTTCCCTCTGCCCCTCTCCCCACCTTGCATGTGTGTGCGCCTTCTCTGAAGAAGAAGAAGAAGAAGAAGAAGAAGAAGAAGAAGAAGAAGAAGAAGAAGGAAGAAGAAGAAGAAGGGGGAAGAGGAAGAAGAAGAAGGAGAAGAAGAAGGAGAAGAAGAAGAAGGAGGGGGGAGGGGGAGGTGCGGGTAGCAGGTTGAGGGCCAGGAAGAGAGAACCAAACTTAGAACTGCACTAAGTGATACTTCTCTTCAGGAAGGAAGCAATAAAAATGCATCATCCAACCAGGAAAATTAGCACATTTTCAGTGACTGAGCTAACCGACTTGGTTACGTGTTCACTTTCTCATCAGGACCCCCTCTTCCTGGTTGGGAGGGTCTAGCCTGTATTTAAGGATACTGAGCCAAATCTCATGGAGGAGCTAAACTGGCAATGACTGATTCCACGCGAACAAGTCAATGCCTGGACGTGGAGTCTAGTCAATATTTGGAAACACTCAAGGGTCCAAGCTGGGATCTTCCTCCGTGGTTTGCAGGGACAGAGAACAGCCTTCTGGACCCACAGAACACAAGGAACCTGCAGGCCACAGGCACAGCATGCCAGCCCGCAGCCCTCGGCCCCCCTCACAGGGATGAGCAGTGCCCTAGCCACACCCGCACCTCACAACCTCCACTAAGACCCTCCTTGTCTTCAGACTCCTGTGCCTCCTGCCCACCACCTCCCAGGCCCCCGTAGATGGACCGGGCTTCAGCACAAGGGATGTCCCCAGTGGCCCAAGAACCCTGGCCTCTGCACAGGCACACTGGCCTTCATGCGCAGGGAGAGAGTGGGGAGCGGGAGAGGCCTTACCCCGGCACAGTAATCTCCACTGATGGTGACCCGCTGGAACTCGGGCATGGCATAGGGCGCCGGCGTGGGCTGGGAAGTGGCACCAGGGAACACAGGAGTCGTGGGAGACATGACCGGACTGGCTGTCGGGGGGCCCTTCCAATCTTGCTGCGTCGGCATTTGCAGAGACAGGGACTGGGACCGAATCATCTTGAAACTTTTCTTTCTAAAAGCCAAGGACAAGGAAAAGTGGGAAACATCAGCCAGGAATTGGGGCAAGTTATAGTCTTTGTTATGTACATGGCAGGAGAATTTCCCCTGATTCGTCATTGGTGCTGGCCCTACCATGAAGAAGTTGCTAATTATGCCTTCTTCTCACACACATCACCGCCTGAGATACAGAACAGCCCTCCAGACACCCCTCCCTGGGATCACTGAGCATGGCCCTGGCCTGTTTGGACAGCACACAGAAGCTTGGAGAAAGCAACTGTCTTGGGAGACAGAGGACAGACCATACTGCCAGGGTCTCACACCAAACGACCAGGTCAAGTCACCCAAACTCTAAGTCCCAGCACATGAACAGCCTCAGGAAGGACAGTGAATAGAGTCACAGGCGACACCCACCCTGTAGTTCACAAAGTTTGAAACTGGAACCAGGAGAGAGCATGACCACCCACTAGTCCCACCTCTTTTTTTCATGAAGGAGTCAGGGGCCCAGAAATAGAAGAGAGCTTGCCCAAGGTCACACGGCAAGGTGGCAGCTAGCCCTCAGCCTCCCGGGGACCTTGCTCCATCCCGTCACCCTGCTCCTTCCTCAAGCCCGACATGGGCCATCCTGGCCACTCCCACTGCTGGGCAGGCACAGACCTGTATCTCTATTATGGGAAAGAGAGTGGTCAGCATCAAGTTCAGGGCCCTCTGGACCTGTCACCTTAGCACAGAAAGATGATTTCACCAACTCTTGGGGAAGTGGGCACAGGTGGTTTACAAGGCCACAAGCTTATGCTTATTTGAAGTGATTCATGAAACTCACCTTCCTCATTAACTAAAGACATCACCCAAGTCCTAGGATCCCCAGGAAGGGAGTTAAAGGTGAAACTATGAGGCGAAGCCATGAGCACTCCCCTCTCCCTGTCTTTTTCTCTGTCTTTAATGACCCCGGTCCCTTAACACTGTCACCCAGGAGTATCCAATGCCAGGAATGAGCTGAGGGCCCAGCAGGAGAGCCAGGGCCCATAGCCACCAGAAAAGGACCCAAAGACCCATCAGAGCCCGTAGAACCCCTCTCTTCTCCAGACACCATGATACCCAGAAGGGGTGGGGAAACTGCCTGATCTCCAAAGAGGCCTTATGAGTCACCTGGAAGCAGTTATCTTTCTCCTGATACTTGGCCAGGTCTCCTCACAGGCCCACTGCCAATTTTTCAGGAACCACATTGACCTCCTCTGTCTACACACCTACCACTTGCCATGGTTCCCTGGTCCTTATATGCCCACCTGTTGTCATCTCTTGTTTGGGGCCAGGCTGTTTATACCTGGAAAGTAGAGGCAGCCCCTTTTCCGGAGTTGTACTTTGCCCAGCCCATGGCCCTGCACAACAGAGGCACTGAGTCATTCCAGAAACTCTGCCTGAACTCCAGGAGCCTCCAGCTCAGGCTCTCTCCAGCCTGCCATCCACCCACTCCACAGAGCTGAGCTAAGCATCCTGCCCCAAGAAAGATGTCCACTCTTGCCGGTCAATCATTCCTCAGTGGTTTCCTCAAGATTCACCTTGAGCAATAAAGTTCGCACTTTGGCATCTTCTGGACGTTCACACCTACAGAAAGAGCTATTACTCTGGGCCCCCTCTAACATTCTGACCAGTTCAGCTGGATCCCATGAGACTCTGGCGTTTGTGTCACTCACATACCTGCCAGCTCATGGTTTTTATCTCTTTGCCAACATTTCCCCACCCCCCACCCCCATGCCTCATCCAACACTGCCCAAGGGCTGGTCTCACCAAGCAGAAGCAAGATGACGTCTGAGGTGAGTAACAGGTAAGAAAAGTAATAAAGCCTGCTGCGTTCAGGAAGTTGGAAGGCTGCCTAAGCCAGGAGCCCACCAGGCTTGTCCTAGGAATATCTACATTTTTCTGCCACAGTGGGGAAGCCATTACCCCCTAGCTGCCTAAAGAACTCTTCTTGAAGACATCATTATGGCTCTGCTTGGCCTTCAAGTGGTGAACATCCCTGGGCTGAGAGCTCCGACTGTATAGGCGCAAGGGACAGGTTTGTCAATGGATGGGGCAAGGGCTTAGAGGAACCAGAGCCAAGCACAAAGCTTGTATCTCAGCAAACTGGAAAAACTAAATGGAGACCAAGGAGAGGACCCTGTATTTATTTTCTATTGTTGCATGACAAATTGCCACAAGCCTTAATTGGCTCACAGTTCTGTAGGTGAGAAGTCTGGGTGGGTTTGGCTGGGCTCCGTGCTTGGGGTATCAAAAGGCCAAAGTCAAGATTCTGGCTTCCCTGAGCTCTTATCTGGAGACTCGAGGAAAGAAGCCACTTCCATGCTCATGCACGGGGTTGGCAGAAACCAGCTCTGTGCGGCTGTAAGGCTGCTGTGCCATATTCTATAGTCTAATAATGTTCAGAGGGTCTGGAGATTAGAGAAGACCATCTATGGCGGGGGCATTTCAGAAATTCTGTCTACCATAGGCCCATATGTAACATCCATTCCAGCCAACCAAGGCTCAGCCAACGAAGGTGGAGAGCAGCAACTGTGTGACTGAATGTGTGTGTGTGTGTGTGTGTGTGTGTGTGTGTGTGTGTGTGTGTGTCCCACACCTGTCTTTCTCTCCCTCTCAAGACCATCTGAGGCCCCACATGCATAACAATAATAAAAGAAGGAGGCATAAGCTTTATCTGAAGTAGAGAACCATGGTCTTAGCTGAAAAGGATTTTAAACTACACATCCCAGTCCCCTCACTAAGGCAGCCTCTGCTTAAACACCTCCACTGACAAACAGCTCATTACATTTCTGAACAAGACATCAGCCATCAATCATTTATTCAAAAAATATTCACCAAGCACTTACTCTGGGCCAGGCCAGTTCTAAGCACACAAACAAGGTGAACAAAACATGATCTGTTGTCACTGTTAGAAAGCACTTCCTTATGATGGGCCAAGATCTGTCTGTCCACAGTCCCACCTGTTGTACCTCGTGCTAGCCCTTGGGGCACCAGAGTGAGCCAGCTCTCTCTGTCACAGCTGGCAGGCCCCCTCCTTCCCCCACCCACATATCCACCTGGCAGAGACTCAGTCCTGCCAAAGAGCTGGCAGGGTGTGGGACTGTGAGGATACCAGCTCCAGGCCAGGCCTGAGGGCCCAAAGGGCCAGGAGCAGCTTTGTCCTCTTGGAAATGGATGATCCTCCTGGGCCACAGAGACCTTCTTGCCCAAACAGGCCCTCAACACAAGGACCTGAACTGGTCGCATGGGCTGCTATTACAGCACCTCTCAGCACCTATCTGTTACCTTTCCTATCCCAGCTCTATGGCCCTTGGCTGCCCCTGCCATTCACTGTGTTCCCATCCCTTACTCTGCCCCACTCTTTAGACCTCCTCAGCTCCAGGGCACCCCAAAACCTTTCTATAACAACATTTGGTTCATATGCTAAACCCAAGTTAAGACCTCAAGGCCCTCCTCGATCTTCTAGAGAACAGCCAGCATCTTTCCAGGGACCCTCTGAAGCACGCTGCCCTGTGTGGTCTGTCCAGAGGGCTTCCGGGCAGGGCCAGTCAGCAGAACAAACCTTCCCCCGAAGGCTCTCAATTGTGTACAGTGAGTCAGGGGGCCACATGCAGACCTCACTTTACTCAATAAAGTACCAAGCGCCAGGCCCCAGGGTTAGACAGAGAGAAACTCTACCCCGGACGCCAGGGGCTGGCTGATGATGGCATAGATGGCCAGACCACTCAACAGGCTGTCATCACACAACACGGTTGCTGTGTGAGACGCTCTGAAGATTTGGGGATCCCAAGAGACACCTGACCAGACTGCGGGTGAGAGCAGTGAAGCAGCAGGGACAGAGAAGTCTCCCTACCTCATTCTCAAAGGGAGAGGAGAACAATCAGAATGGGCAGGCTTGTTTGAACCACCCCCCCACCACACACACACACACACACTCAGATCACTCTGGCAGCCTCTACCCCTCCAGATGAGAATTACCCTTCGAAAAGTTTGGGGCAATTGTCCCAAACAACATGGAGATTGATTAACAGTGTGAATCTGAATGCCATTAGGTGGCAGGCATCCCCCACTGTCCCCCATTGCTTCCACCATCACTGCACTGATTTCTGGGGAAGTGGGGACCCATGGTCTAAAAAGGGGAGCAATGATTTGGACCTGAGGTCACAGTCTATCCAGAAAGGAGAAAGCAGATACAGTTGACTATGGTGCATGCCCAGGAGGGGCGGGCACTGAGAAAGGATGCCAGGCCCTTGGGCCCCGTGGACAGCTCTTACTCTTTGCACACACCAAGTGGCCAGTGGCCTGCCCAGGTGGCGTAGCTTTGGTTTGCACACTTGAAGCCTGTCAGGCATAAAGACCGTCTCTCCCTTTACTTCCCTCTGATAACCTGCCGTCACCTGTCACTGTCTCCCTTGGATCCCTCCTGACCAAATGTGGGTCTCCATTGCCTGCCTGCTCCCTTCTTCCCTCTCCCCAATCCTTCCCAACTGCCCTTCCTCCCAAAAGACCTCAGAGGTCAAAATGAAGTACAATCTTTACTATCTTTTAAAATAGACCTAATACTCTCTATTCCTAATGTCAAAAACAAATGAATCAAACTGTTTTAAATGAAGCTCCTTGGGGCACCTGGGTGGTTCAGTCATTTGAGCACCGGACTCTTGATTTCAGCTCAGGTCTTGATCTCAGGATCCTGAGATGGAGTCCCATGTTGGGATCCATGCTGGGCATGGAGCCTGCTTAAGATTCTCTCTCTCTCAAATAAATAAATTTTTAAAAATCTTTTTAAAACAATAAATGAAGCTCCTTTGTTAACAGCCCTGAATTTAAAAAGTTACCTACCCCTGATTTTAGAAATTTCATTAAACAGAATGATTTAGTAACACCATAGCTATACTACACTCAATTCCTAACAAATACTGGTTTATCTATTTGACTTGGGAAAGTAGCTGTTCTAGAAAGCTATATTTTTCAGACAAAATCTAATCCCCTTAAACTCAATTTTAAAAAAAAGCCAGTTATGGTGTGGTTTTTTTTTTAAATGAAATTCATAATTCCTATATTTTAATCAATGCATGCTAAACACAATTTAAAATTCTCTCGATGACTCATAGTCATCGTTGTGTTACCCAGTCATGAGCTTAGAGGCATTTTGTCCCAAGACTGCTGTGCTTCGAATTCTTGTGTTGCTTTTCATGACTTCCTCCTTCACTGTCAACTGTCAGGTAATAACGATGACAAAACCAAACCAAGAACGCTGATGATGTTCCAAGCACTGTCCTAAGTAGTCATGCGTATTAGCTCACTTAATTCTTGCAAAGTAGATGCTTTATTATCCTCATTGTGCAGATCAGGAAACTGGGGCCGATCAGTTAAGAGCCTCACCCCGAGGCCACTCCATAGTCAGAGAAGGGCCAGTCATCTGAACTCCCAGGACTGACTGCCATGCCTGAGCTCACACCGCCACATGCCCCTTCTGTGCCCCTGCCCATGGAGATCCCCCTCCCCACTTCTAATCTCCCCCCTTAAATCTGTCACAGGATAAGAAACAAGCCAACCAAGGTTATTAGAACTCTCTGTAAAGAACAAATAGGAGATGGGATGGGAGTATTGGGGCGATCACGGCTGAAAACGACAGGGTTTCTTTGGGGGCTGATAAAAATGATCTACGGTTGATTGTGGGGATGGTTGCCTAAGTCTGCGAATATAATAAAACGCGTGACTTGTACACCTTAAATGGGTAGATTGTATGGTATGGGAATTATATCTCAATAAAGCTGCATAAAAGGAAGAAACAGGAGAGCTAGGGAGCACTAATGTACATTTTGGCTGCATATTCTTCGTGTGACCATCAGTGTTGCCCTAAGTTGCAACTTTGTACTTTCGCAGAGTAGGTGAGCTCTGACTAGGGAGATGATAGGATTCCATGTGGACAAAGGGATAGCTTCTGGGTACCTCTCGCTTCTCCTGTCTGCTTTTCTCTGCCCCCGAACTTTGATTCCATAGATTGTCCGCCCCGCCATCTCACCTTGACCTGCCCCCAAGACCCAACAGGGACCTGGGACTCCCATCAGTCCCAATGTCATCTTCCTAAGGAGGCAGGACCCTGTGGCATGCTGCCCTTGTTGCTCTCCTCATCTGGTCTAGCCGGCAAAAGGAGAGCTTGTCTAAGCAGCCCAGAGCACTGGCTCCTGGAGTCGGCCCCCTCCTAGAAGGGAGATGCCTGAACCCAGCTCTGCTCTTAGAGCTGCTGCCATCCTGGACAGCCAGCCTCCAGGCCGCAGCTACTCATCTTTCCTACTCACCGTCCAGTTTTTCTTCTTTTACAAGAAGCTGGTTTACATCTTGGTTTTGGTCTGTGCCCTTACATGAGACCTACAATAGTCCTTTTCTTTTCTTCTCTTTTCTTTTCTTTTCTTTTTTAAATAAGAGAGAAAAAGGCAATGGTTGTAAAGAAAGGCCTTCTCAAGTGCCAGAAATATTCAGGCTTGTCAGAGGAGCCAGGATGAGGAAGGGCTTCTTCCAAACTGGATGCCCTTTCTCATGCCGCAGTTTGAAACACAGAGCCACAGACTCAGGGTATCTGGAGATGTGCTGCTGGCTCCGGGCCTGTGGGCTCCTTACAGGATGGCTCCATATGACCATTTATACCCCAGAATGTCAGGGAGGCACCAGAAAGAAAGAGGAAGCTGGGGAGAGAGTTCCTCCAGGGACAGCTCGCATATGAATATTTGCATAACGGTGCCTGTACTGAGCAGCAGAGCTGAAAGATGATTAGGGACATACAACTCTGAACACCACTGGGATCTCCCACCGGTAAGTGCAGGGACCAGTCCAACCTTTGGGAGAAAAACCAGTGGGCAGTGAGGAGCTTTGGCCCAGCTTCCCCTCCTTTCATTCAAAAGCCAGCAATTATACCCTGGCGAGGGGTACCCGGTGTCATTCCAGCATCTATAGGTGGAAACAAAGACCTCACCCCTGGCCAGGGATGGAAGAGCCTCGTGATCAAAGTTGGGGTTCTAGATTCCAAAGACATGTGTTCTAGTCCCTGCTCTGTCACTTCCTTGCTACACATCCTCGTGCAGGTTAATTTCACCTCTCTGACCCCTAGTTTCCTAATCTACAAAATGGATCTCAGTAAGAATATCCAGCTAATCAGCTTGATGTGGGGGTTAAAGAAGGCAAGCTCACTGAGCAGCCCAGCACCGAGCATCTGCTGCCATTGTCTCCTCGGTAGGGAGTCGGGCAAGCCTTGAACAGCGACATGGGGCTTGCTGTGACCCAGGCACTGTCCTAAGCCCCTTCCATGTCAATCCCCTCATTCCTCACAACACCGCACAAAAGTAGCTACTGTTACCATTCCCACTTTATAGGAGAGGAAGGGACTAGAGCACAGAGAGTTTTCCTAATTTTCCAAGGTCACAGAAAATTCTAGTGAGTGGCAGAACACAGGGGTCCAGAGAGCTGTAGCTGCTCTGATGTAGTATCTGCAGCAGCAGTGAAGGAACAGGACATCTTTTCTCTGCCACCCTCCACTGCTCGCCACCATGGTTAAGTCCCAGGGTGGATCCTGGGGATACAGTGGGAGCCAGAGGCCAATCTCAAGAAACTTCCAGAGAGATGCAAACTGAGACCACCGATCCTGGTAAGGAGGGACAGAACATGATTTCTGGAGAGGAGCCTACAGAAGAATTTCTGGAAACCTCGGAGCACCATGGGGACCGGAGTAAGAAGGTTTCCATTTTGCTGTTAGGCTGGGCATCGATAAGAAGAGAACAACCTCGTTTTGCAGATGTCACCCTGTAATGGAAAGTGGCCTCAGAAACCCACTATTCCTAATAACAAAAAAATGCCAGGACTTCTTCTCTTCTCATTATTAAGGGTCTAAAATGCACGATTCATAAAACACAGAGGGCCCTGCACACCATTCAGTTCCTAAAGCCAGCCCTCTGTTAAGCCAGTGCAGGGGGGAAGAGGTCTCCACAGTCCTGCTCTTCTTGACCCTCCTGGGATGAGCACACTGCTGGGCCGACAGCCACCCCCCCCCTCACCCAGCACCGGCTGGCACTCACAGCTGACAGATGGCACCCTCTACCCCTTCAGTTCGGGGGCTCAAAGCCCCTCAGAGGGAGGAAAGCACTTCTTTTGCATGGTGAAACTCTGTTCCTTTATACCAGTACTCAACTTTTCACTTCTTTACCTTACATTAAGGTAAGACTGAAATTCTCAACTACCAAGAAAGCAAGGGGCTTGCCTTTAAAAATAAGGAAGTATCTTAGGAAGGACCTGATTGCTGACGAGGTCCCAGGTGGGGCTCAATATCCACTGTGTTCGTTAGCTCTGAGGTCTGCCGTGTGCAGGCTGGGCAGGCACCCAGCTAAAGCCCCACCACATGCTTTCTCGGAGCTCTTTTCTTCTTTAATCGCACTCTGCTGCATGAGATAAACTGAAAGGATGAGGACTTCACATCGCCCTTGAACTAAGATCCAAACTTCTTCTCAGGGAGCCCAAGGCCAGTCTGACCTGTGTCCTGACACTGCCTCTAGCCTGAGATTCTTCCCTCCTTCTCTCTGTCTCTCTCTCTCTCTCTGTCCTTAAACTCCTTGTTCATCCACTTCATAGCACCCACACCAGGCCTGTTTGTCCTCAGATCCACTCCTCATCTTCCCCTGTTTCCAGCTGTGTCAGCTGGCTTCTGACTGGTAACCACTGGGAGAAACTGGAAGATGCCAGAAGGATTAAAGCCAGGTATCTCCTGCTTCCATTTCTGCCTTGGAAGCATCTCCTGTCTTCAAGGCATCTGCGCAGCTGTGGTCTCTACTCCTTAGCTCATTTTCCATGAAAAGGCCACCACAGCTCCAACTTCTCCACCCCGGGCCCTGGGCACCAGCAACACCACCTCTTCCCATCATCCCTCCAGCCTAGATTGGAGTTGCTTCCTACCGTCTCTGGTCTCTGGCCCGCCTCTCTGTCCTCTGCTTGTCTTCTCGGTTCTCTACCACCTCCGTACCCATCCCGGCATTAAAATCCTATTTCCAGTACTTCCGTGGCTTCTGTTTTTTCTTGTTAGACCCTCACTGATACAGCCCTTATCAGAACTTGCCATATTTTATCTAATTTGTCCCCTTACTTAATTATGGTCTAGACCAACTAACTGTAAGCTCTACAGGGCAGGGACTGTATCTATTTTGTTCTTTAGTGATCCCCAGTGCCCAGTACAGCACTTGGCAAATAGCGAATGGACTCATTTAATAACGCCAAGCATTTGTCAAATGATGAAAAGAAGTAAAATTGGTGTTTCCCAAGAAATCCTCAAATTTCCAGTAAGAACATGGAAATATCATTTGCAAATGATGTGTGTTTAGGCACCTGATTTGTTACCCAAACAGCAGCAGAGAAAATGGCGGTTTTGATCTTTCCAACTCAACCCAGGCACTGAAACTTTCTTCAAGAAATGAGTGGTAAATTGAGTGGACTTGGTTAAGAAACAAACTCAGCTCCCAGGGAGAGGCCAGCTCATCTCAGGACACACACCCACAGCCTGCCGGGGCCTGCACAACTGTGCACACGGGTGCTGGGCCGTGGGGACAGACCTTTTCGCCGTCTCCACAGACTTCTGCTCCGCGAGCTCCTTCTGCAGCTCCCTCTCCTTGGCCTCCTTCTGCCCAATGGGACAGTCCTCAGGGACGGTGAAAAGGGACAGGGCATCTTTGCTGTCCTCTTCCCGGAGCACTTTAGCAAACACCTTCTCAGCCAGGAGCCGGACCTGCTCATCCACCTCAGAGATGTTCAGCTTGGGAAACTGGCGCGGCATCTCGGCTAGCACAGAAAGAAACAAGCGTTAACCTTCCTGAATTCCTGGGTGGCCTGAGTCAGCGGGGTGGGGGAGGAGAAGGTACTAAAATAAGGGCCTGGCCCTTCGGGTCAGTTGTATTGTTCAGGAATTCCCCAGAACAAACACCACAGGCCAATTTTAACAACTAGCTCCATGGGGCGCCTCGGTGGCACATCCCCTTAAACTTCTGAGCCTTGGTTTTGGCTCAGGTCCTGATCTCCGGGTCATGAGACTGAGCTCCGCATTGGGCTCTACGCTTAGCAAGGAGTCTGCTTAATATTCTCTCTCCCTGTCCCTCTGCCCCTCCACCCACTCTCTGTCTCTATCAAATAAATACATAAATCTTAAAAAAAAAAAAAAAACTACCTTCATAAGTCATTAGATGTGAAGAGGGTAGCACCACTCACATTTCATGAGAAAGCAAATTCAGAAGTCCAAGAATGAATTGTCTATGTGTGATTCTTTTTTCCAGAACTCAAGGAACCCACAGCACCTGGGCAGTCCCACCTTTCCGGGCTTTGTTTCCACAACAGGGAAGGAAGAAGAGAGTTTAGGCTCCCCTTCTGCAGACTATCCAGAGGCCGTCTGGGAACAGCAATGACCAAACCTCACTCCCTCCTGCACAGAGGGGAGGACTAAAGCCCAAAAGTCTAATGGCTAGCCTAAGGTCCTACTAGATGACCACAATGCGCAGGGGAATCCATAGCTTCATTCTTCCTCACATGCAACAAGGCCTTTTTTTGAAAAGAAGCAGTCTACTGCCATGGTTCTACCATCTCCCAGACTTTGTGGAACTTTGAAGAAGACACAGCAAATAAAAGAAAGGTCTAGAGTCATGAATACTCTTTACCTTTCACAGCCCAGCTGAAAACTCACTTCCTCAAAGAAGCATGCCTTATCTGCCTACTACTTTCTTACTATCAGTAGGTGGCCTAAATTACCTGGGTGGTTCCTTTCTTTCCACCTGTACATAGGACGTATTAAGTACACGCTGCCAAACCCTTTCTATTTATTCATTCAGTTAATCCTATTATTCACATTTTACAGATGAGAAAGTGAAGGCACAGAGAGCTAATGTGCCCAGGTAACATTTTTATTAAGCGGGCAGACTTGTGCTGTTCTCAGCCTTTGCCATGCCCCGCCCCCCCTTTCCTCTCTGAGCCTCTGCTCAGGGATTTGAACCCAGGCACCTGGTTCCCACGTCTGTCTTCTTAACCACCGCACCCTGGAGCTTCTCCTTGTCCACCTGGGCATCAGGGAGGTCTCCTCACTGTCCCCAGCATCACATTTATGGAATGCGTGAATACTGCATCCCATCAACGAGCCCCCTTCACTCGGAGCAGCTCTGGACAAGGAGTATCCTGTCTACCTATTACCACGGTTTCTTTGAGGATGGTTTAAAGAGAGAGGGGGTTTAGTTAGTGAGAGAGGAAGCTGAGGGTAAGGCAGGACCCAGATGCTGTGTGGCCAGGAGGGGAAGCAATTACGGGGGAGGAGGGGCTCACTGAGCAACCTTAGGACAGTCACTCTCTGGGCCTCACAGTTTTCTCCACTGTAAGATAAAGACTAAGCAGTCTCCATGGCCCTCTCAGTTCTAAGTGCTGTAATTTCTAGGTACCGGAGGGGTTTCCAAAGCTCAGGGAGGCTTGCTGCTCTGGTCTTCTCTGTGGCCACTGGGCCTCATTCATGACACAGACAGGAAGAAGAAAGCAGACTAGCAACACCTGTCAAAGTACATCTGTGGTCCCCTTGATTGTGAAGCCAATTTCCTCCTTCCCTCCACCCACAGGGCCATGCCTTTCCTGGGCCTCTCTTCCCTCCAGCGGGTTCAGTGGGAGGGCACTGCTGAGGAGGAAGGAAGTTGGCACACAACTGTGCCGGTCTGTGGGGGCAGAAAGCAAAACAGCAAAGGTCTGACCTGCATGGAGGAAGGGGACCAGAGCTAACTGTGAAGTTGTCCACATCCTGATAGCAGACAGAAGGGGAAGCTGGAAACCATCAGAACGGGGCTTGGAGAGGAAGGTGACGGGAGAGAAATAGAGAGGAAGACAAAGAACTAGAGCCAGGAGGAACTGGTAGATGAGAACAAAGCTGGACCCCTGTCCCCCCAACCCTAAGGCTGCGGGTCAACTACAGAATTCCAAAACCTGGGGGCCTGGGTGGCTCAGTGGGTTAAAGCCTCTGCCTTCGGCTCAGGTCATGATCCCAGGGTTCTGGGATCGAGCCCCGTATCAGGCTCTCTGCTCAGCGGGGAGCCTGCTTCCTCCTCTCTCTCTCTGCCTGCCTCTCTGCCTACCTGTGATCTCTG